TTTTTCTATTTTTACCCCTCCCTTACTCTTTTCTACCCCCCCTCCTCTTCTTACTACTCCTCTCCCTCTACTACCCTTTCCCCTTCCTAATATTCTCCTTCCCTACCCTTTGAATAATTTTTATACCTTCAAGAAATAAGTTGAGATAAGTCATTGCCATTTTTACCACCATTTCCGGTTTCACTTTCTCATCAACCGACCCTTCCCATCGAAACAAAAGCAAAAGAAGGGGGGGGGGAGGGGGGGGAGTAATGTAAATATACTCGAACAAATCCCAAAATCCATAAAAAATATAAAGTACATTCGAATCGCTGCAGAAACCATTTTTTGATCGAGCGAATGCGAAAAAAAACACATAGCCGGCTGGCAGCAAGAGCTGAAGCGGAGGGAGGGGGTCTTTGATCAGTTCTTGTTGTTTTCACACGAATTCTGACCAAACACATGCCTATATCAATATAAATATTTTGGCGTCGATTTTCTTCGGGGTTTCGCTTTATTATGGCAGCTAATTGGAAGGCGGGGGGGGGGAGGATAAAATAAAGTAGATGGAGATACAGGGGAGAGGCAGAGCGAATAGAGGAAGTAACTATAGGGAGAGGTAGAAAGAATACACCAAAGAGCTATAGGGAGGGGTAAAAGTATAGAGAAAGAGGGGTGGAATAAGGGGTAGGGTGAAATGAAAGACTTTATGAAGGGGGTGGGGTGGAAATACAATTTCAGAATAAAGGGCAGGGGGTGGTATTAAAAATAGAGTTCTTTCATAAGGCAGGGAGTGATAAAAAGAGATGTCCTTATAAGGCATGGGTTGAAAAGAGGCGTTTTTTCTTAATGCAAGCAATTGTACTTTTTTTTTACAGCGCAGGCTACAGGTGACAAGTTATACGATGGAATATGCTTTGGTTTCTGGTAAGCTTGAGCAGGGAAAGGCAAGGCATAGCAGAGTAGGGTAAGAGAGAGGTAGATTAATATAAGGTAGGGTAGGGTATGATAGGGTAGGGTAGGGTAGGGTAGGGTAGGGTAGGGTAGGGTAGGGTAGGGTAGGGTAGGGTAGGGTAGGGTAGGGTAGGGTAGGGTAGGGTAGGGTAGGGTAGGGTAGGGAAGGGTAGGGTAGGGTACTTTTCAGCTTGTAAATTTCAAAAAACTGCCAATTTGCTTTACATAAACACATGTGCTTGTTGATGACAATACTTGTAAACAAAGTTTTTGTTTTTTTAATTTTGCGACCTTTTTGTTACTTTTTCTCGTTACAATTTCTTGTTTTCGAAGGGTTGTTTACAAAAATAACAAGCCAGTTCTTCTTACTGACCTTCTGGCACGAACGTTGTTATGTTATTCTTGTTCAGTGATCACCTCCACTTCATGATTTTTTAATTTTTTGTTGATTTTTCTTGATGTTTCCTTTGTATAATAGATTGGATTTGGAAATGATTTTATATGATATTGTTATTTATAAGTTTTGTTTGGAAACAAACTAGTATAATATTGCTTGTAAATTGGTGGTTTGGAAATAGAGAGGGTAGGGTAAGGTAGGGTAAGTTAGGATAGGGTAGAGTAGGGCAGGGCAGGTCAGCTTAAGACAGCTCAGAGCAGGAGCAGGACAGGGTAATATAAATATAGTAGGATATTGTAGAGTAGGGAAAGGCAATGCAGGACCAGGCAGTGTAGGGTAAAGCAAGACAAGATAAGTAATCGATGAGGTCGTAAGATAGTTAAGGGCAGGGTAGTACAAACTATAGCAGAGCAAGGCAAGGTATGTAGGACAGTATAGGGAATTGCAGGGCGTCACTGGGCAGGGCAAAGAAAAAAAATAGGGCAGGGCATTACAGATTTGGGCGGGGCCTTACAGGGCAGAGTATTACAGGTCAGGGAGTTATTAGGCAGGGCAGGGCAAGGCAAGGCAAGGCAAGGCAAGGCAAGGCAAGGCAAGGCAAGGCAAGGCAAGGCAAGGCAAGGCAAGGCAAGGCAAGGCAAGGCAAGGCAAGACAAGACAAGGCAAGGCAAGGCAAGGGTAGGATAGGGCATCTCATGGTAAGGCAAGACAGGGTAGGATATTTCAGAGCATGGCAGGGAAGCGCAGGGCAAGGAAAGGCAAGATAAGGTTGGGTAAGGTAGTACCCCTTATAAAAATTTAACCTATCGTATAAAAATGTACCCCACGTACTAAAAATTTACAATGCCATTTGAAAATCTACCCAAGCTTTTACCAATTAACCCTTTATAAATCTACCATGCTCTCAGAAAATTTAACCTTATCCATCTACCCTGCCTTCTGAAAATTGATCCCTGTCAATCTACCCTACCCTTTGAAAATGGATCCTGAATTATCTACCCTCCCTCTAAAAATTTTCCCTTATCTGTCTACCCTGGCATCAGGAATCCTACCCTTGCCTATTTACTCTACCCTTCTAAAATTGGTTCTTATCTACCCTGAATTTCTAATGTTAACCCTTACTTATCTGTCCTATCCTTATAAAATCTACCCCTACCTACCAACCACACCCTCCAAATCCACTCCTATAAAGTCTCAACCATCACCTCCTTACTTAATTCGAAGCCATTAACCAGTGTTTTTGTAATCGCATCCTATTGATCCTCGGTGTCAGCGCGGTGCCAAAACATTATTCGCCTCTCCCTGCCTCGGCCTCCTCTTCTCTTTCGCAACAAGACGATCTGACCTGCGCCCAGCTTATAAACACCATCATCAATACCGGAAAAGTGGATTGGTCCGAGTGGACATTGGCAAGCTTTTTTGCCGCCAAACTCACTCTCGCGCCCTGCTCGAGAGTCTTTTTTAAGGCTAATTTTGCTTGATTTGGGTAGTGTAGGGGAATAGGTAAGTATAGGGTAGGGTAAGGTAGGGCAGGGTAAGGTAGGCTAGGGTATGGTAGAGCAATATAGGATAAGGTAGGGTAGGATAAGAACTCTAAAAAGTTGTAAAAGGGCCTTACGCACCTTGTGTTATATAATGAACGTACGTTGCGGCAGACCTAAAATCGCTCGCTAGTTAGCAGCTTATTATAATATAATCTTATTGTTCTTAAATACCAATGCGCAATAGCGCACGCTTCATTGTATTATAATTACCTGATGATAGCTTTTACAACTTTTTAGAGTCTTTACCCTACCTTATTCTACCCTACCCTACCCTACCATAACCCACCATACCCTACCATACCCTACCCTACCCTACCCTACCCTACCCTACCCTACCCTACCCTACCCTACCCTACCCTACCCTACCCTACCCTACCCTACCCTACCCTACCCTACCCTACCCTACCCTACCCTACCCTACCCTACCATGCTCTACCCTACTCTACCTTATCATATCCTATCCTATTTTTCTTTACTCTACGTTGCCCCACACTACTGCACCTTAAACTACTGTACCTTTCCCTACTGTACGGCATCCTACCTTACCAACCCTATTCTACCGTGCCCTATGATACTTTAACATCTACCTTCTTCCTCTCTCTACCTTTGCCATGTCTTAACTTTTCTGCCATACCATGCCTTTGGTCTTTTTTCTTTGCTCATTTATCTTAAACAGCCCTGCCCAATATTTTCTTCCTTAGCATATTCGTTACCCTGTTTTTAAATACCCCACCCTATAATCCGTGTTTAGTTTGGCTTTTTCTACTGTACCATGAACATCATTGCTTACCATATCCTATACTTTCTTTTCTTACAGTACCTAACCACAATAAACTTGACAGTGCCAAAACAATCGGCCTCGTGTCCAGTTTTTTTTGCAAAAACATTTTTTTTATTTTGTCCCCCCCCCCCCTCTTCTTTTATTTTTCCATCGCGGCAATGACCCTTCCCCCCCACTCGCGCCTTATGTCTCGGTAAGCGCGCAAAGACGAAAATAGACACAGAGAGCGGTGGCGGGGCGAGGAAGAGAAGGGCATACCCAAAAATCGAGGCACAAACGATTCCAAACAGATTAGAGACGCGAACACACCCAAAATCTCTCGTCTTCGTGCCTGATTCGTGGAGGGGGGCTTGTTTCCTATTGTTTTTTTTTAATTACGAATTAAGTTCGAAAGGATTTAAACGGGTTTAGGGGGGGGGGAGGGGGGGGGGAGACAGAAGAGAGAGGGGGGGGGGATGGGGGAGGGAGAGGGAAGTTGGGGTAGAACTTGAAGTCTAGCTCTGAGGTGATTTACAGAGGGGAGGTAAGAGAGAGAAATTTTCGGAGGGTAGGGTAATTTTAAGTTGATAATTTTATCTCTGCCATTTTAAATTGACATTAAGACAAAATATAAAATAAAAATTGTAGGACAGACTTTGAGCTATCGTTTGCTGCCAATTTTGCAATTTTATAGTGTCATTTACGTTAGTTACATCACTTTTAATAAAGTATATACACCATCTTACAAGTTTTAAAAACGTTTTTTAAATTTTCTTTGAAATTTAAAATTTTTAAAAAATATTTTTTTTAAATTATGAAAAAGCATCCTCTTCTATCCCTAAATTCAAAATGTGTTACAATTTCACCAACCAGTTTTTAAAATACAGCCAATTTCAAGTATGTTATCCATGTTGTAATATCGTAATGCTCCTTTGGGACGAATATTTAATCAAAGTGCTATGATTAGTACGTTATGAGCAAAAAATAGAGCAGGATTAGCGGAAAGTACACTTTTTTCAAACTTTTTTATTTGTACGTCTGTTCGCGTGACATTGGCCGACAATGTACGTTAATACCTTGATGTTAGCCTAGACGTTATTGATAGATACGCGAACATTGGAAGTCCGTGTTTTACTTTTTAAACTTTACTTTGTTACCCTTTGAATTTTAATAACCAGTCTTGCTCAATTCTTGACAAAACGTCAAAAAATCTTGTTTTCGTGCCGGTACCAAATCGGTTTCCTCGCGTTTTGTATGTATAACATAATATTGAGCCGACATCAATGTAACTAGCATTCACAATGCCCGTTTTAAGATGCAAAATCATTAAAAATAGTATATCAAAAAATATACAGGTTGGGCCACAATGACAGACACATTACACATAACAAATCAAGATGATTTCCTAAAACAAAAAGCTGAACACCAAAAAAGCCAAGCCGATTTCGTCAAATATTACGACGAAAAGCGAACGGAACAAGTACGACAGGAACAGTCAGAGTTTATCAGTCAAATTAAACCGTAAGTTTGAGATTTATTTGGTTTTTTTAAATTTTAGGAGGATTTTTTGAAGAAGGGACATGTTCTTGTTGTTTTTTTGAAAAATGAAAAAAAAAACAATTTTTCCTCTGTTTTCCATAAAGGTTTTGATGTAAAACAATATTTTAAAGCCGTTTAAAAGTAAGAAGAAGTTAGTTTTATTCTTTTTAAAACTTTGAACTTGGTATTGCAAGTCTTTTGTTAAGGTATACACCACAAAATCTCGGCTAAACTGATGTCTATAGCAATTTCATAGTTTTAGAGGTGTTTAACTTAATCTAAAACAATAAAAACATGTTTTCTAGATCATAAACACTCTTTTTCTTAATATTTAATACGCGTTTACGACAAAAAGGTTTTAAATGAGCAAAAAAACATTGTTATAGACATCAAAGTTTATATTGTTATAGGTTTTAGTCTTTTCATAATTTTATGGCGTAAAATTTAGTGGTAAAGAGTAAAAATAGACTAACAAGTTTTCACAGACACTTTTTTATGTAATACTAAATGTACTTTTGTTGTCCAAAGGCTTTAACATACCAAAAAACATTGTTTTAGGTATCAACTTTTATATTGTTATAGGTTTCAGCTTATTCGTTATTTTTTGGTGTAAAATTTAATCTAGTGTATAATGTTTGGCTTATAAATATAAAGAAACACCCTTTCTCTGTCATAACTCATTTATTTTTGCGAATTCAAGCTCTTCAAACCATTAAAAACATTGTTTTAGACATCAACTTCTTTATCTTTAAAAATTTCACAAAAATATTGATATTTAAAACTAATATTGTACATTTCAGACAATTAGAAGAGTGTGTGAAGCAGGAAGAAAAACCAGATTTTAACATTCCGTCCCAATCTCCATCAAATCTGGCACAGGACGCAAAGACGGCGAATAATGGGGGAAAAGTGAGATTTTCTTTGTGTTTTTGTTGGGTTTTAGGTAAAATACGGACGTTTCTATATCATCAGTTTTATTTTACGTGTTTAGAAGGTTGTTACGAATCTGTGTTTTATAAAAATGTAAAGGAATATTCGTTTTTGACTGCGTAAAATACAAAAAAATATGGCTTTTTGACGAAATTTAGGTGTAAACTGAAGGAAATTTTGATTTTTTCAATCTTTAACAGTTTTTTCTTTAAGTATTTGATATTTTACATTTGATACTGATTCTTCTCCAGCTAATATCAACTATTTTAGGCCAGAAAACGACCGCTTGTTAAAGAAGAACCCGAACTTTCGCAGAAACGCCCCAACATGGACATGAACAACATGAACCAGCAGCGGATGATGATGAACGGCAACATGATGAACATGCCGATGATGCAGCAACGTGGGCCCGACCCGCGGTCCGTCTATCCTGGTGCAATGCCCGGTGGTATGATGATGCCGAATGGTCAGATGAGTCAGGATGCCTATCAGATGCGACAAATGAGCGAAATGCAACGAATGCACATGATGCGACAACAACAACAAATGTCAGCACAGTCGCCCAACTTTGCCCGAGGGTTTAATGGTCAGAATATGGGTATGAATGGTATGATGAATGGGCAAATGGCACCAAAAATGGGACCAGGCGGAGGAGTAATGGGACCAAATGGGCAAATGATGACACAGAATGGACAAATTGTACCAAATGGAGCCATGGGTATGCACATGGCACAAAATGGCCAAATGAGGCAAATTGGACCCGGAGGACAAATGATAGGACCGAATGGCCAAATGATGCCTAATGGAGCTGTTATAGGGCCTAATGGTCAAATGATGGGACCAAATGGAGGAGTAGTGGGACAAAATGGCATGGTAATGGGACCAAACGGACAAATGGTGCCAACTAGTTCTGTAATGGGACCAAACGGTCAAATGTTACCAAATGGAGGAGTAATGGGCCCCAATGGTCCCATGATGCCACAAAACATGCCCCAAACCGTAGTAGGACCAAATGGCCAACCGATGCGAGTAACGCCCGAAATGATGATGCAAATGCGACAACAACAAGCGATGCGACAACAAATGATGGCCAACCCCCAACTACAACAACATCAGATGATGCAGCAGCAGAAAATGTACCAAATGAACTACCAGGCCCAAGGCCAGTACCAGTTCAACAGTCCCCAGACCAGTTTCCCATCCCCGGCGGCGGCACAGAACGGCCAAGCGCCCCAATGTCCCACGCCCCACACGCCGATGACTCCGTCGATGAATCATCAACCCGGCAGTAGCCATTCCACGCCCAATAACGTAGCCAATTTGACCATGAATCCGGCTTCAGTAGCCTCAACACATAGTGAACACCAACCGGCTTCAGTACCGTACCCCATGAGTCACGGTATGGTACACAGTGTGGGGCCATCGATGAATCCATCAACCTCCATGGGACCATCAACTTCAATGGGCTCAAACGGTACCATTGGTCCCAATTCTACCGGTCCGATCGGTACTAATGGCAATATGGCAGGACCATCAAGTTCTATGGGTATGAATGGTACCATGGGCTCAGTAGGACCACATTCAAACGGCCTTATGGGACCATCAACGTCCGGTACCATGGGACCAAGTTCGACCGGTCATATGGGCATAAATGGGGCCATGGGACCAAATTCGGTCGGTCATATGAGTTCAAATGGCACCATGGGACCATCAAGTTCAGTAGGACCACATTCCAATGGTATACCCAATCAAAATGGCCAGGCACTCAATAGTATGAGGCCAAATTCGACCGGTATGAGAACCAACATGAGCATGGGACAACAGAGCACCAGTATGGGTATGAACATGGGACAAGCTGGTACTAGTATGGCGCAAAACGGCAGTAATATCCCCCAAAATGGGGCTAATATTACCCAAAACGGCTCTAATATGAATCAAAATGGTACTAGTCTGGCCCAAAATCAACCCTCAACATCGACCGGTCAATCCATGGCCCAAAGCTCGGTCCAGTCCAGCATGAACCCAAATTCAGTCCAACAAAACTTCCAAGCCAGTCAACCGTCCTCAACAGCACCACATTCGTCGCCCGAATTCGAAATCGACTTTCCATTGGACCTGCAAGAGATTTATACGACAGTACTGTGTACTCAGGAGTTCGGAGAGATCAAGCCGGAGGTAATGGTTTTGAATTTTGAAAACTTTTGAAATTTAAGTAACAAATGAGAAGTTTTGGGTTTTAGGTAAAAGAAATAGAGTTTTTTAGCCTAAAGACTTCATTTTTATTCAAATCAAGCCCATTTTCCACAATTTATTACCTAAATTAACTAATCTCCCTTCATTTTCAGTCCTACCTTGACATGGAAGATTTGATGAACTTTGAGACGCATATGAACGAAATCTTCAAAAACCTAACAGCAATCAACACGTGATACCTGCAACTTTGAAAATCTGGTCAATATCCAGTCATCTTCAATTAGAAATGTCACATTTTTGGCCAGTATCAACTACATCTCAAATTTGGTCAACTTTCAACGATTTTTGACCAATTTCGATTGTTTTTGGCTAGTCTAACCATACCGGTATAACGTAGAATATTGTGCTAGTGATTTTGTGCCATTGTGAAGCCACAAACATCGAAACCCGCGTGAAAAACGGTGAAGCAATAGCTGTTATGGGCGAAAAACGTGAAATTTTATGCATTTTGAAAGCTGCAACGAAAAACGTAAAATTTAGGGCGAACGAACGTTAAATCTTATGCATTATTGGAAAGAAACGTGAATTTTATGGAAAACACGTGAAATATTATGCATTTTGAGGTTTCTTCTTGAAATTCAACGTTTTTATTGATTTTTGTCCAATATTTATGCTCATATGGTGGTTTTCCTCATGGCACATGTTTATATAGGTCTTTTTTCATGTTTTCATGCCAATCTACTTGTCATTTCTCACTTTGGTGCGACAATCTTGCGGTTTCTGTGAAAATTTTTATTTTTCTAGGGTTTTATGCAAATTTATGATTACGCATTTAATGACTTTTAATTTGCATATTATTTTTACATTATACTAACTTTTATACAACATTAGGTTTTTGCTTATAGGTTCAATAAAAAATGTCATAATTTTGAAAATTTTTAAAATGACGTTTTTTATGGAACATAATATTGAAAATGCTTAAAATTGTTTTTTATTAACCTTGGCTTTAATCCATGTCCAAAACTTATTTATTCGAATTCTTGAACTCGCAATCAGCTTATCAATACTTTTATCATTCAAAGCATTATATGTTAACACTATGACAATATTCGATATCACAAGTCATAATTCTTGTCTATTTAACGATTTTTCGATCACAATGGTACTCTCTAATCCTGTTTTGGTACTATTTTTTGTTTTTTTTTATTTTTAAAATTTTTTGAAATTTTTTAAAAATTTTTAATTTTACTCCCCCAAATATCATATTTTGATACTGTGTTTATGTTGTAAATATTATACCTGTACATTCGCTTCACACATTGTCTTCAGTTATTACCTAAAATCTCAAATTTTTATAATTACTTATTTGTTCGTATTATGCAAATTTCTTCCCTAATCTATATATAACAATATCTGAGTCAGAAATGAAACACTGAAAGTTAACATTCGTTGAACGAATCGTCACGTTAATAATAAAGTTCTTATATAAATGAATTTGGATATTGAGTTTGGCGGGAACATTTGAATTTAAACTTTGGCGGGAAAGCTGAAGTTTGAGAAATGGAATATTTAAGGAGGAATTTTAAAATTATATTGGGAGAGGATACATTTGACATTTTATTATTTAAACATTGTTATTTTGCAAAAACTTGAGTTTTTAACTTTGGCGGGAGAATTCAAATTTAAACTTGGCGGGTATATAAAAGTACCAAAGATAAAGATGAGGGCAAAACTTGCATATTATTCTTTAAAAATGTTTCTTTTGTTCAATTTTTCTTCACAATTTTTTTTATTTTTTCGAAAGTATTGAATTTTAAAATTTGGCGGGAAAGTGAAAATTCAAACAAAAACACCGTCGATTATATCGATTTTTTGAACTAAAAATGATGAAATATGTCGTTTGTGACATTTGTAAATATTTTTTGTTATTTTTCCAAAAATTGACAATGTTCAATCGAAAAACATGTGTTTTACTACGCTGTAAATAACAAAACACATATTATGACAAACCATACATTAGGACACAGCTTATGCCACAGTCTAAGAGTCTATATCTAACTTTGTTACTATTTTTCGAACATTGAAAGCATAATGTATATCCTGTGCTTTAAAATTGCGTGGGTAATATAATTCTACTACGGTTCGTGGTAAAGTTACTGAGACTATTGTACGACGGTTACTGTAATGCACAAGTATATAATTAGACATATTCGGTAGAAGGGATGGGGGCGGAAGTATAAAAAAACTTTGTTTTTTGAGGTGTAAACCCTGCTGGTAGACTAATTTTCGTAGGACGTACTGTACTTACCCTTGAGTTGAAGTATATGCATAATTTTGAAATTACTAATTAGGTAAGGAAAAACGATGTTTTATGACTGAAACCGTAAAAATATGGTTAAAATGTTCATCTATATGCTAAAATATAACAGGTTTTTAAAATTATTTTAATTTTTTAAAATTTCATTTGTAAAAATTTTAAATATTTTAAATTGCGCGTTTTTTGGCATTTTGTTGCAAGCTGTGTTTTAAGCCTAAAGTGTTAAAATACTAAATTTCATACTTCTTTAGGCTTAAAAAAACAATTTCTGAGTCAAAAACATCAAAATAAAAACTTGAAACAGAATGCCAACGTTGGCGGGAAACTTGAAATTCAAAAATTTTTGTTATTTTTTTACTTTTTATATTTTTCACACTACTTTAGAATTAAAAAGCATTAGTTTTATGTTTAAAACATCAAAATAACCACTTGAAACAAAATGCCAAAGTTGGCGGGAAATTCAGAATCCAAAATTTTTCGGTATTTTTTTACTTTTTAGTAGAAGGCGTAGCAAAATACGGGGTATGCACATATAGGTTTTTTACAAAAAAGTAAGTTGACACATTATTCAATTCTAAAACGGCAAATTTTTATCGACCAGTCGATTTTTGAAAATTTCAATTTTTTAAATTAAGGTTAACTACATGACTTTTAAAACTTAATTTTGGTCACAAAACTCATTTTCTTCGTAACGGTTCAGTACTTTTCCTAGTCAGTGTTACCCAAAGTAATATCTAAAAAGTTGGGCGGGGCTTGTTCTTAGGCCTACAAAACTTGAAAATAGCATTCACAAAGTAAAATTAATGTTAACCATGAATTCTCAGCAATTTTTTCAATTTTACTCTTTAATTGTACTAATATTGTCGGTGGTACTATGTGGTACCGTGATTTCCATAAGTTGTGCTATGCACTATGTTAATAAGCGGAGCGAGTATTCATGGATTCTCGGGTTTACTGCGGCTATTGATCTGGTTTATGCTGTAGTAACTGGGTTTTTAATGCCGGTAGGTGAAGAAACTTTGTTTACAGGGGGTGGAAGGGCAAGAACTTTCTTTACAAAACGAAAAATGGCAAAAACTTTCTTTACAAGGCATAAAATGGCAAGAACTTTAGTTACAAATGAAAAAATGGCAATAACTTTCTTTACAGCGCTTAATTTAAATAATAAAGTATTTCTTCGTATAACTTGTCACTCGCAGGTTGCCGAACGCCAAAAATTTTAAAAATGGCAAGAACTTTCTTTACAGAACAAAAAATGGCAAGAACTTTCCTTCCAAAACATAAAACCGCAATAATTTTATTTTCAGAGCCATCTAATCACCTCCGAGCACTATTACCTTCAGCTCAACAACTCTTTTATTCAATATCTACCTACATATCAGATCGAAGCTCTTATCATCCTATCAATGTTTGTACTATGCATAGTAACACCCAGTAATACAGTGCATTTTTGGTACCGGTCGAAAATAATTTGCGACGGAAATGTTTGGTCGAAACAGAGGTACTGTATGATATATTTGGGCTTTGTGGGTTACTGTATTGTACAGTCTGGCATACTGTACTCGAATACGAACCATGAGAGTGATACTAGCGTGGAGGACATACTAAATAGTACGGGTTTGGCATACGACAGGACTTATGTTGCTCGACATGCTGTTTATGAGTTGGTAAGTGATAAGGGTGATAGGAATGGTAGTTTGCACAGTGCAGTCAAATAGTGTTGCACGGTGCAGTCAAATAAAAGTGCACGGTTCAGTCAAATAATGTTGCACGGTGCAGTCAAGTAATCTTGTACGATGCTGTCAAATAATTTTGCACGGTGCAGTTAAATAGTGTTGCACTGTGCAGTGAAGTAAAACTGCACGGTGCAGTCAAGTAAAACTACACTGTGCAGTCAAGTAATCTTGTACGATGCAGCCGAAATAATGTTGCACGGTGCAGTGAAGAAATTGTTTATTTCTGCCGTTCTATATTGGTAGTGTCATTATTTTGGCAAAAATATTGACGACATTATCCTAAATTTAATGGCATGTTACGTAAAACATTAATTTTTTTAATCGCTTTCATTAAAAAAATTGGGTTTTTGAGCTAAAAACATCATTTTTAAATTGATAAAAGCTTACACTAAAATGAATTTGCACATTGCAAAAATATATTTATGACTGCACAGTGCATTTTTATTTAGACCGCACCGTGCAACTTTTTTTTTATTACACCGTGCAAACTTATTTGATTGTACAGTGCAAGTTTACTTGACTGCACAGAGAAGCTTTATTTGACTGCACCGTGCAGTTTTATTTGGTTGCACAGTTCAGTTTTATTTGACTGCACAGTGCAGTTTTATTTGACTGCACAGTGCAAGTTTACTTGACTGCACCGTGCAACCTTATTCTTGTGCACCGTGCAGTTTTGTTTGACTGCACCGTGCAACAAATATAAAAAGTTGCATTTTATGACAAAACTTTGTTTACAAAGTCAAAACTAATGTCAATTTACGTACGAAAACATCAACATTAGAATAACATAGTGTTTTTATGATGTTTATTAATGTTGTTGTTGTTTTAAAAAACCGGAAACTTCCTGGAAGGTAATTTATTGCTCTGTGCAGAGATTTTCTTTTGAATTTTAAATAATAAACTTACTCAAAAAAAGAAAAAAATGCCATTTCTTATCAGAGTATAATGTCATTTTTTAAATTTTCAGTCGATTTTTTTAAAATGGCAAAAACTTTCTTTACAAATAAAAAAATTGCAAAAACTCTCCTTACAAAGCGTAAAATGACAAGAACTTTCTTTACAGAATGAAAAATGGTAAGAACTTGGCAAGAACTTTCTTTTCAAGACATAAAATGGCAAGAACTTTCTTTACAAAACAAAAAATGGCAAGAACTTTGTTTACAGAACGAAAAGTGATAAAAACTTGGCAACAACTTTCTTTACAAAGCGTAAAATCATATTCATCGTATAAATTGTCACCCACAGGCTGCCAAACTCCAATTTCTGTTAAGATCGTCAAATATGGCAAGAGCTTATTTTTCAGAATATGGAATTGCAAGAACTTTCTTTACAAAATAAAAAATGGCAAGAACTTTGTTTACAAAACAAAAAATGGCAAGAACTTTCTTTACAAAACAAAAAATGGCAAGAACTTTCTTTACAAAACAAAAAATGGCAAGAACTTTCTTTACAAGGCCAAAATGAAACACTTGTCTTTGTTGCACGGTGCATTCTTTTCATTCATTGCACGGTGCAATGATCTATGTCATTCAACAACCTTAACTATTATAACTATGTGTTTAAATGTATTCAACTTTTTCACGTATATGAAAAGGCAATTATAATAATAAATAATGAAAAAAAACCGTTTTCCAAGTTTAGCTATTCAATCCCACTTAAATTTAATTAAATTCGTTTTGAAATACGACTGGCATTTAGAATTTTAATAAAAAGGGAATAAGTAAACAGAAAATGAAATAAACTGGCAAGAACTTTCAAAAAATTGTCATTTATCGTATAACTTGTCACTCGCAGGCTGCAAAGTCATATAAATTAGATCCTTCTATTAAAATGGCACAAGCTTTGTTTACAGTAGGGAGAGCAAGAATTTTCTTTCCAAAACGAAAAATGGCAAGAACTTTCTTTAGAAATCAAAAAATGGCAAGAACTTTCTTTACAAACTACAAAATGGCAAGAATTTTCTTTACAAAACATAAAATAGCAAGAACTTTCTTTACAGAACAAAAAATGGCAAGGACTTTCTTTCCAAAGCCATTTTAAACATTTTACTTTTCAGAAATCGCCAAGGTTCATATTTGGTGCACTGTGCAATCAACTGTCACAGACTATTCAATATGGAATGTTATTTCACTTTGGTTGGAAAATCGTCAAAAGGATGAGGACTAGTACGCATATGTCGACCAAATCTAAGAAAACTCAAGAATATGTTGTTAAGGTCATGATTTTACAAGTAAGCGGCAGGAACTTTCTTTACAGAATGAAAACTGGCAAGAACTTTTTTTTACAAAAGAAAAAAATGGCAAAAACTTTCTTTACAAAACAAAAAATGGCAAGAACTTTCTTTACGAAACAAAAAATGGCGTGAACTTTCTTTCCACAACATAAAATTACAAGAACTTTCTTTACAATTTCATTTTCAGGCCATGTACCCCCTAATCTTAATGGTACTCCCACTAGTTGCCAGTTCAGTTTGCATTTTTATGGAAATGCCATTTTCATCCGAATATATTGTATCCGAGTTCGTTGTACTCATGCCAATTCTCAGTAGTCTTACTGTATTAACACTAATACCATCATATCGAATGTGCATATGTAATACGATTCATAAGGCTAGTATCACTGCTAGTGGACAGTCGTTTTAGACTTTGTGACATTTTTATAAACTTTATGGCATTTTCGTTACGATTTATGACATTTTTAAATATAACCTTATTTTTTCAGCTAAAAAGTCAATTTTTAAGTTCATAAAGGCTTTTTTTACATTAAAATTATTTCGCACAGTGCAAGAATATATTTATGACTGCACAGTGCAGTTTATTTCGCTGCACCGTGCAAACTTGTTTGACTGCACAGTGCAGTTTTATTTGGCTGCACCGTGCATTTTTATTTGATTGCACCGTGCAATTTATTTGATTGCACTTGAAATTTCAAATAAAAATTGTATGTCTATTGCACCTCGCAGTCACTATGGCTTACAATGACTGCACCGTGCAAAGTTTAACTTTTTTAAAAAAACAAATTTTAAATAAAAATTTTAAGAAAACGTTTTGGCAACAGAAATTGCTGAGCGTATTTTACATTCTCAAACTCTTTTTAACATCTATCAATTTTGATTTGCTGAGTTTAGCTTTGTCAAAATGGCTGCACAGTGCAGTGTTTTTAAAGCACCGCCGAACTTATAATATGACAAAGTGAAATCGACTTTTGATTAAAATTGATTTTGAAATGTTATGAAAATTTTATTTCATCAAGTTTTTATAACTTTTGGTTACAGTAAGTTAAAATCAGTTCAAATTTCTTAATCTGCACCGTGCAAAAATAACTTTCTTCGACTGCACCGTGCAAAACTAAAAAAACATAATTTTTAAAATCTATGAAACAATCAAAGAACGTATTTTACAACAAAAATGAATAATTTTAAAGTTTGATGTTTAAAAATTTAAAATTTCAAAAAAATTTTTTAATTTTCTGAAAAAAAAATTTATTTTTTATTTTTTACTTTTACTCTGCACGGTGCGGTCCGCCGATGAATAACTGGAAAGCTGATGCTTCGGAATTGCGATTGAAAATAGAAGAGTATGTGGTGGACCAACAGTATAGTATATCCTACTTCTTTGTCACTCTCGGAGGGTAGGCCTTGGCATTTTTTGAGTAGTAAAGAAAGTTTTTGCACTTCTTTGTTTTGTAAAGAAAGTTCTTGCAATTTTTTGTTTTGTAAAGAAAGTTCTTGCAATTTTTTGTTTTGTAAAGAAAGTTCTTGCAATTTTAAGTAGGAATGTCATTTTAGGTTCACAGTGTTGTTGTTATGTTCAATTTGCTCCATTTGGGCTAGTTACTTCTTGATTATCACGCCGAGAAGACGGCCGAAAGAAATGGATGTAAGTTGGTTTTGTAAAGAAAGTTCTTGCTGTTTTATGACTTGTAAAGAAAGTTTTTGCCATTTAATGATTTGTAAAGAAAGTTCTTGCCATTGTTTGCTTTGTAAAGGATGTTCTTGCTATTTTTTGTTGTGTAAAGAAAGTTCTTGCTATTTTTATGTAAAATAACAAAAATTGAAGATTGGCAGCTTGCGGGTGACAAGTTATACGATAAATACCATTTTTTAATTTTTTTGTTTGTAAACAAAGTCCTTGCTTTTTTCGTCTCTGTAAAGAAAGTTCTTGCCATTTTTTGGCTTGTAAAGTAAGTTTTCGCTATTTTTTGGCTTGTAAAGTAAGTTTTCGCTATTTTTTGGCTTGTAAAGAAAGTTCTTGCTATTTTTTTTATAAAGTACGTCAAACTGTCTATACGATTGTAAAAGGAGTTTAAAATTAAATTTTGAACCATATTAAAATACATTTAAAATATTATATTAACCTAATTATGCTACCATAATGTCAATTATTTTTTAATTTCCAAAATTAAATTGCCCTTTTCTAGAAAATCGAACGTCTACGTGCCATTTACGAGAAGCCCACCTACACGATTCCGATAGCTTACAGCTTTATGTTCCATGACCCACCTCCCCAGATGCCACTCGAGATACAGCCTGACCCCAGCTACACGAATCCGTTTTGTCAAGTCGAAAAACCACCCCAATTGGCCGAGGATTTGGCCAGAGAAAAGAAGATCCTGGAGAAAGAAATGAAAAAATTCAACGATGCGCTCCAACAACGACTTCATACCTCCAAAAAGCCTGTCTTCCCATTATTATTCAAGAAATAAAGGTTGATTTAGTGGTTGTAAATAAAGTTCTTGCCATTTTTCGTTCTGTAAAGAAAGTTCTTGCAATTTTTTGATTTTTAAAGAATGTTCTTGCCATTTTTGTTTTGGAAAGGAAGTTTTTGCTACTTGTTAATAAAAATTTGCTTTTTAATAACTGTGCACGGTTCTTGGCGACAAGTTATACGATGATTCTTAATACAAACCTTCGTAAAGAACGTTCTTGCCATTTTATGTAAAATAACAACAATTGTGGATAGTGCAGGCTGCTGGTGACAAGTTATACGATAAATTGGCCTTTACGCCCTTGTAAAGAAAGTTCTTGCCATTTTTTGCTTTGGAAGTAAAGTTCTTCCCGTTTTTTCTTTAAATAGCACCGTGTGAGTCCTGCAGCCTGTGGGTGACAAGTTATACGACGGATCTCAAAATTATGCTTTTTTTTCGTTTTTAAAGAAAGTTCTTGCCATTTTAGGTTTTGTAAAGAAAGTTTTTGCCAGTTTATCAATTTCACCTCAAAATATCTGGCATTTTATTACAAATATGACTAATACGAATCAATTCTGTAGTTGATTTCGCAGAATCCCGTTCCTTTGACGCCATTCAAGCTGAATTCACACATCAACTCTTGAATGTAATTGGTTAGGTCCAGACCCATTTTAAAGGATACTCGGTTCTTCACAACTACGTTTACCTAAAATAGCAGTTTTTAATTTTTGTTATCTAAAATTTTAATTTTTCAAAACTTTTTTGAATTTATTTGTACTGCACGGTGCAAGACTCAATTTTGATTGCACAGTGCAAGCTTTTAATTTTGGCTGCACGGTGCAAGGCTTAATTTTGATTGCACGGTGCAGTAATAAAACAAATTTGAATTCTTAAAAAACTAGTACCAAATGGTACAAGAAACAAAAAAATGTACCAAATGAAGCTTATAATGGTCGTTAGTATCGAAGGTGTAATGAAATTCATCTGGGAAATCCTTATTTTCTCCAATGTAAGCCAAGTGTAGGTTTAGCTCATTTATCACGCTCTTTGAGCCATCTCTGGAATGTCAATGTAAGTTGCATGATAGGTAGGCTAGAATAAAGAAAGACAAAGTAAATGAATAGAAAGTCCAGGCTAAGTCAGGTCGGGGCAGATCAGTTTGTCAAAGTAAGACAAGGAAGAGCAGGGGGGGGGGCTGGTAAAGGCAAGGCAAGGCAAGGCAAGGCAAGGCAAGGCAAGGCAAGGCAAGGCAAGGCAAGGGTAGAGTAGGGTAGGGTAAGATAGGGCAACTTACGGATGAACCACAAAGCCAAACTGTAGATGAGAAAACACTTGTTCAGGCATACTAACACAGGTCGTATTAACCTTGGTACCATCCTCCAACACAAACATTATCATGACATATCGTCGTAGCTCACTCCAGTTCCTGTACGATGTAATAGAATGATCTCGAAGTCCTTCCATGTTCAGATCATACTTCTCGTCATTCAAAGCGATTTGGCCTTTGAGTTGGCCAAATTGCTCGTAGTGAATATTACGGTGCTTTTCCAGCTTCTGAAAGGTCCCTTTCGACCATTCTTCGATCGCTAACGACCGACTGATCAGGTCGGTGGAGATATCATTGTCAAAGTCGAAATGTTCGCCTGAAACGTAAAAACTTTCTTTACAGAACAAAAAATGGCAAGAACTTCCTTCACAAAACAAAAATGGCAAGAACTTTCTTTACAAAACAAGAAACGGCAAGAACTTTCTTTACAAAGTCTAAACTTGCCTCTGGCAATCCAAGTCAATTCAAATTTGCAGTCGATGGCCTCGAAATCCTTTGGAACTTCTTCTTTACCAGCTTTTGTTAAATCGTAATTCAAGTACTTTGTACTGACCAAGGAGCCATCAAATGATATTTTCCATAATTCCATCGGCCGCAAACATGAAATTGTAAAGCCGGATTCCGATTTGTAGTCCAGTTCGTTGGGAATTGTCTGAAAATAGGGTTGTAAAGAAAGTTCTTGCCATTTTTTGTTTTGTAAAGAAAGTTCTTGCCATTTTTTGATTTGTAAAGAAAGTTCTTGCTATTTTTGTTTTGTAAAGAAAGTCCTTGCTATTTTTTGTTTTGTAAAGAAAGTTCTTGGCAATTCGAACCGTTTTTGTTACTTTGCAGCCTGCGAGTGACAAGTTATACGATGATTCTTTTTATAATTTTTTGTAAACAAACTTCTTGCCATTTGTTGCTTTGTAAACAAAGTGTTTGCAATTCAAACTTACAGTAAGATTAGAACTACTAAGTAGGTCCTGATTAACAAAGGTACCCTTATTTGGTATGTGTAGTACAAAAAATATGTTGGCAATGTTGTTCTGACGTTGAGCAAACCCCAATGTTATATAATAACCATCACGGTTGGAGCCATTAAAGAATACACAGTCACCGGCTTTAGGGAATTCTGAAATTTCAAAATTAAAAAATGTAAAATACGCTGTGCAGACCGATACAATAGAAGTGTCAAGAAACCATTTTAAAATGCTTTTTTTATAAATTGTAAGGAAAGTTCTTACTATTTAACGTTTTGTGAAAAAAGTTCTTGCCGTTTCATGCTTTTTAAAGTAAGTTCTTGCTATTTTGTCTTTTATTAGGAAGTTTTGCGTTTTTTTCGCACTGTGCAAACTGCAGGTGACAAGTTATACGATGATTCTTTATATAATGTTTTGTAAAGAAAATTCTTGCCAATTAACGCTTCGTAAAGAAAGTCTTTGCCATTTAATGCTCTGTAATGAAAGTTCTTGCCATTTAATGCCCTGAATAGAAAGTTCTTGCCGTTTTACGCGCTGTAAAGGATGTTTTTGCTAATAAATGCTCTGTAAAAAAAGTTCTTATTTTTGTTTTGTAAACAAAGTTCTTGCCGTTTTATGCCTTGTAAAGAAAGTTCTTGCCATTTTGTCTTTTGTAAAGAAAGTTCCTGCCATTCCCCTTACCCTCAGGCAATTTCTGTTTCCTCTCCAAAACATCGACCGGTATCTTCTTCAACCGGTCCTTTTTCTGGATTTGAAACAAATCGCCGTGATAAATGCCTCCGGCCTTCTTCTTCTTCCACTTTTGAAGTGATATCATCATTCTCATGAAATTGAATTTCAGGAAAAATAAGGCAGACGGCTGGCTGTAGACCCCATGAAGTTTAGGGGGGATCTTGTAGAGGAACTTGTAGTACAGTAGAAATAGGACGATTAGGGGGAGGAATAGCACTATTATCATTTTTTTGGAGGTTTAGGTAATAAAAGGGTTGAAAAGTTTGAAAAAATTAGTATTTTAGGTAACAAAATTCGAAAAAATGAAAAAATTTTAACTTTTAGGTAAAAATAGGTTTAAAAGTTTGAAAAATTAGTATAAGTAGGTAACAATGTTCAAAAAATTAAAAAATGTTGAATTTTAGGTAATAAAATTTTAAAATTTAGTATTTTAGGTAACAAGAATTAAAAATTTTGTATTTTAAGTAACAAAATTGGAAAAAATTAGTATTTTAGGTAACAAGATCTTAATAGTTAAACAATTCTGAATTTTAGGTAACAAAATTTTAAAAAATTAGAAAATTTAGAATTTTAGGTGACAGAAATTCGAAATCTGAATCAAGTAATAAAGTGTGAAAAATTAGAAAAAATTAGCAAATTTTGAAGTTTAGGTAACGAAATTTCAAACTTTCGTATTTTAGGTAATAAAACTTAAGAATATTAGAAAAATTAAATTTTAGGTAATAAAAATATGAAAAATAGAAAAGTTTCAATTTTAGGTAACACAAACCTTAGAAAATGCAAAAAAAAATAGATTTTAGAATCCTTGTCAATCAAAAACTTTGTTTCCACCGATCAAAAAGCCTTTTTCAATCGATTTCAATTCACTTTTCGCTCGTCCGCTCTTATCAATGAGCTTTTTTGGAAGGAATTCTCGATTTTGTTTATTGTTGAACTGATATTTATTGAGAAAACACAACAACAATCATGCTTTGTTATATAAATTTAAGCGAAATATTGATTAGAAGCAATTTGCACCGTGCAAGGGTTTTTATAATTGCACTGTGCAATAATTTCTTAATTCTTGCACTGTGCAATACATTGTTTCTTTGCACCGTGGAACATCTCTTGTCTTTGCACTGTGCAAGACTTTTTGAATTCGCACCGTGCAACTAAAAATGGCAAAATCTATCTTTACAAAACAAAAAATGGCAAGAACTTTCCTTACAGAACAAAAAATAGCAAAAACAATCTTTACAGAACAAAAATCGCAAGAACTTTCTTTACAAAACCTAAAATGGCAAGAACTTTCTTTACAAAACAATAAATGGCAAGAACTTTCTTTACAAAACCTAAAATGGCAAGAACTTTCTTTACAAAACCTAAAATTTCAAGAACTTTCTTTACAAAACCTAAAATGGCAAAAAACTTTCTTTACACTTCCGTTTGTTTTCGAAAACTTTGTGATTTAGTTTGAGCTTTTCAAACCCAAATTGATGGTTTTAGATTCGAAAGCCGCGTGAGGGTTGAGGCTAATCTGGTTGTTCAATTGGTTATACTATTCTACTTTTACAACTTAACAAAACTTTTTGTGACAACCGGCTAGGTTTCGAGATTTTCGGGTAAAATACGGCTACAGGACCAATAATTTTTTAAATTTAAAAATTAAAAATTTTTTTTACTACTGTAATATTGCTACGGTAACCCATAAAAATAATAATTTCAAAAAATTTTGAAGTGTTTTTGCAATCTTCCATCAAGTATTACCTAAACTTACCATGCCCACCAATTACTGTAACAGTTACAGTAATCTACTCCATTTTGTTACAGTACTACTAATACTACTTATATTTCAAAGTAAAATAGTAAAAGCTTTGGATAACAGTACCAAGACGTCTTCTGTGGACTTGAATGGTAACAATTGTCATGATTGTACAGCCTTTTTTGATGATATTACACCTACAATCGAGGTATTGTATCGAATGGCCAGCCAGTCGGCTTTTCAGTTCGGAGTTCAACATGCTATTCAGGTACTGTGTCATAAAGTATAAGTTAAAATGACAGGAACTTTGCTCCCAAAAATGGCAAAAACTTTCTTTACAAAACATAAAATGGCGAGAAATTTATTTACAGGTCAAGAAATGACAAGAACTTTTTGTAAATAACTAAAAACTGCAAGAACTTTGTTTACAAAAAAAAAATGGCAAAAACGGTTAATTTTAAAACTTTTTTCAAGTTAGTTCAAACGTTTTTTGGCAATTAATAAAGAACCTGCACCGTGCAACGAATTCTTTTATTGACTGCACAGTGCAGCCAATTAAGTTACGCTTGCACGGTGCAAATTTTGTTTTGTGCCATTTACTTGTCTTGTAAAGAAAGTTCTTGTCATTTTTTAGCTTGTGAAGAAAGTCATTTTCACATAAAGCAACGAAATTTGGTATTGAGCAGCCTGCGCGTGACAAGTTATACGAAAGAATTTTTTTTATTTCTTGTTTTGTAAAAAAGCTCTTGTCATTTTATGTTTTTTAAAGAAAGTTTTCGCCATTTTTAGTTCTGTAAAGAAAGTTCTTGTCATTTTTAAAAAAGATACCAATTTTTCAGAATCGCTGTGACATAATGTTCAACAAACTTGCAAATTCCAACTTTTGTTCGATATTAAACGACAATTTGGAAAAAGTATTGTCCACAATTCAAAATGATAAAGGAATTCAAACTGACGATGTTTGTGACGTTCTCGAAGTGTGCACTTCTTCATAACATACTCTATTTATAGTATTTATACGTTCGGTTATGGGTCTATAAATGTGTTTTAGTACTGTTGAGTTCGTTGGAAGTGTTTGGGAAGAAAGTTTTTGCGGTTTTTTGTTTTGTAAAGAAAGTTCTTGCCATTTTGCGTTTTGTAAAGAAAGTTCTTGCCACTTTTTCCAACTTCTACAAAATTTATTGTTATGCAGCCTGCGATAAACAAGTTATACGAAAAATAAGTTTTTTTTATTTTGTAAAGAAAGTTCTTACAATTTTTTAGTTTTTAATAAAAGTTTGTGCCATCCTGGCGTTTAAACATTGTAAAATACGTTTGTATGTGTATATCAAACTTATACATCCATTTGTTCATATATCCCACCAAGTACAATATAATATTTTATTGTTACCTCAAAAATGAGCAAAGATGTAAAATACATTCACAGAATGCAAATTAGCACATTAGAACCACATTCTACGTAAATGGCACGTGAACATAAATCAAAAAAACAAAGTTGCTGCACAGTAAAATCAAAAATATAACGTTGATTTCAAAAAAAGTACCACTAAGGCTTCAAAGGGCCATAAAAAGTGGTACCATGCCATTTTAAACGATACCTTGGTATCAAATGAATCTTAAGACAATTATCTACCATTTTCTAAAAACTCATGTTATAATATCATTTTACTGCGCAGTAAATTCGAATCAAAGTTACTGGATTAAAGCTCTTTTCGAGTAAAACTGAGAACAAAAGACCTGTTTTGCCTTAAAAACCTAAAAACCCTTAGGCAATACAAATAAAACAGTTCAAAATCAAGTCAATTTGATTGACTAGATACCTAAAATTACAATTTACCTTACTTTATAACAATTTTACTATCAAAAAGACCTAAAAAATGACCTTTTTTCCCTTCCGTGGGATCAAAGGATTTTAAGGCTACTATAATATAAACGCTATTTTATAGCAAATTTTGTCAATTTTTACCGGTTGAATAACAAAAATAAGATACTACAGAGCATCTTCTAACAATATCTAACAAGATTATGGTTAAAATAGATTAGATGAGCCTAAAAGAAAAGGTTAACAACATAAAAAGTTGGTTAATATAACCAAAAATTGGTGGGTTTGGCAAATTTTAGTCGATTTTTGTGGTCGAAACTGCTTCAAATGGTCTGAAAATCACGTCGAAGATACTTTAAGATCTGCTCTATCTAATAGAAGCAATTATAACATACAAATTTATATCTAAACTATCAAAAAATCGACCAAAATCTACCAAACTCAGCTTAAAATGCACCTTTTTTGACAAAAAACTGCCAAAACTAATTGAAATCAATTAAAAAAAGACAAATTTAGATCAAAATCAATTTAAAAAAGACCAATTCAATTCAAAATACTCTACGCAGAAGCACTCCCGCCCTTGTTAGATCCACCGTGCCCAAGAACGACCGGCATGATTTCGCCAACGTGCTTGAGAAGATGGTCGGCGTGGGGGTCGAGTTCATGACGGTCCCCTACGCCCGAGAGTACACCAACTGTACCACCAAGTTGAGCTGATCGACCCATGCCCATGTCAGCTAGAGTGTCACCTACCATCAGGGCGTCCTGAAATTGGATTTCGTAATTTAAAAAAATTTAAAGATCAAATCATAACGCTATTGATCACCTTGATCCGACGTTATCATAGCTGATTAGCCAGAAATAGATATAAAAAACACATTTTCGTGTTTCTGTTGACTTTAAAAGAATGTCAACGAAAAAGAATCAGCTGTCTGGGGAATCCCCACGCTTCTTTTTGTTAGTGGTTTGTGTGTTTTGTCATTATGAAACAGAAAAGTGAATTTCAAAGGGCTGTCAATGACAAATATGGTAAAGTACAAGGAGTTTTGGAGCGTAGTGACGTCAGACATTACTATAATTTTACGAAATTAAATGGTAAAAGTAAAAAGTTACGTTTTGCAATCTTACCCTACCCTACCCTAAACTATCCTACCCTACCCATCTTTACCCTACCCATCTTTACCCCACCCTACCCTACACTACACTATACTTTACATTATCCTACCTTACCCTACCCCACTACATTTATCCTCAGAAAATCCCCATCGTCCCTTAAAAAATCTACCTTGCCCTATAAAAATTTAACCTATTTTTAAAAAATCAACACCGCCTACTAAAAAAGTTCGCTAGCTTAGAAAATCCAACCCGCTTTTTAAAAATTTGTCCTACCCTATAAAATCTACCCTTAAATAAAAAATGTGCCATACCTTTAAAAATTTACCCTACCTTCAAAAAAACATTCCCCTACCTTCAGAAATCCACCATGCTCTCTAAAAAATTTCCCTACTCTAAAAAATCTACCCCGCCCTCTAATAGCTTGCCCTTTTGCTTTTGCACTGTGCATCTTTAAAACTAACTTTTTTCAAATTTAAAAATCGAAAAACTTGTATAACCCTATATCAACCTCCATAACCTAAAACACCCCCAAAACAACCTAAAACACCCTCACCCCCCCCATTATATAAATCCAAACCCCTCACCTTAGGATCCACGCCCAGAATCTTGCAGATATTTAAAGCATTGTGAGGATGAGGCTTTGGCTGACTTCCAGAATCGTCTCCACACACCACCAGATCAACGTACTGTTCCAGTCCAAGCGATTTCAATGCTGTTAACGTTCCTTTCCGACTGTCAGCAGTACAAATGGCAATCTTGACATTGTGGTCCTTGAGCTCCTTGAACAAGGTCTGTAGGTCGTGGATCTCCTTCAGAGTGTCGTGCGATGAGGTGTTACAGTCCATCACGCTGGTGTGAACGATCTCTTCGGCAATATCTTTTGGCACGTCGTGATCGACCAGTAATTCGACCGTCTTTTGTCGGATCTGAGCCATGGTACCTTCGGCCAGTAGACCAGTTTTGACCTTCTGTTCGATGGGGCAGAAGCCCAAAAGTTTGTAGAATTTGTTGGACAAGTCCAGCTTCGTGGCCTCGTTCAGCTTCTGATACGTCTGCTTGGTCCATGGTACCCACATGGAGTGGAAACAGATGAGGGTACCATCCTTGTCGAAGATGACTAGGCCCGCTTTTTGGTCGTTTTTGAATTGTTTCCGGGTTTCTTCGATCGCTGGTGATGGCATGGTGCGGATCGAGCTTGCCTGAACGTTGCGGCTGGTTTGGGGAGTGAGGACGGACTTGTAGGCACATTGGTCGATGGATTGGGATGCTGTAAAGTAGATGTAAAGTATTAAATTGTTCAAAAAGTAACGAGCCATAATTCTTGCAGACTTAAATTAAAACTCTCAAGCCTTTTTTTTATTTCTATAGTTAAATTTAAAATTTTAAGTATTTTTGGCAAGAACTTTCTTTACAAAACATAAAGTGGCAAGAACTTTCTTTACAAAACATAAAATGACAAGAACTTTCTTTACAAGTCATAAAATGGCAAGAAATTTCTTTACAAAGCATAAAATGGCAAGAACTTTCTTTACAAATCAAAAAATTGCAAAAACTTTCTTTATAAACGAAGAAATTGCAAGAACTTTCTTTGCAAAATATAAAACAGCAAGAACTTTCTTTACAAAACATAAAATGACGAAACTTTCTTTACAAAACAAAAAATGGAAAGAAATTTCTTTACAAAACAAAAATTGCAAAAACGTTTAAGAACTTACGAAGCTGAAGTAAAGAGCTTCCTTGTCGTGCCAAAAACACTGGCCTAGCCAGCATTTGAATACTCCTGGACAAACTCATCCTTCTGGGCTCAAGTTTAGGGTTTTAACTGAAAAAACGTAATTAATTTCAAAATTTTAGAACAAATCTACCCCGCCCGACACGCTGTTTTAAAATTAGTTTCAAAATTTCATACCCCCGTCCTTTCCTCCCACCTCTATCCTCCACACCCACGCCTCCTCAAAGTCACATTTAAAATTTCATGGCTACCCCCAATCCCATCCCCCCTCGCCTTTTTAACCTTTTTTTTATAAACCCAGCGCCTTTACTAACGCACGGTACATATATAATAAATTGATAAGCCACGCCCATTTCACGATAAAAAAATCGAAAAATTATCAAAAAAATGAAAAAAAAACGTAAGAAGTAAACGAACACTGACAAGACTACAACCAGACATTGTTTATGGTAATGAGGGTAGATAGAAAACAGCAATAAAAGCAAAAAGAAGTGAAAAAATGGTAATGAGACAACACTGAAAATGAAAAAAAATGTTTTTTGGGGGTCTTACGTCGTGGAAATTTCTTAAAAGTACGCTGCGAAAACACGCAACGACAAAGAGTGCAGTCATAACAATAACACTGGCAGGGAATCAAAAAAGTATCAAACATTAAAAATAGATGTACAACATGTATATCAAACACCTCTATAAAAAAACTTCTTTATAACGAACACATTTAAAATTTCCAAGCGATTTGTTATACAGAATTTCCCCTGTAAACGTTCTATAGTAATATAAACATGAATTCTAAAAAAAAACAAAGATATTCAGTCTAAGGCATAAAAAATAAGCTTAAAAAAAGCACTAAACCATCAGAAAATAAGTCTATACTAAAAGTAAAGACCAATACAACTACAGTTAGCCCAAACTTCTAAAAATAAGCTTTAAAACATCCAAATGTAACACAAAAACTAAACCTAGACATGTGACCAGAGTTCCCACGGGCACCGGCTCCAGAGCTAAAAGGTAAAAAGACGGAGCCGGAGCTGGAGCCAGAGCTAAAATTTAAAAAAAGGCAAAATGAAAATTTGAAATTTGCGAACTCTGCTTGTGACAATAACAATACTAGTAAACTGAAAACTCAAAAAGAAGCTTATATAAAAATGAAATCCAAATTTAAACCTAAAACCCTTAAAAACAAGACTAAATTGAGAGAAGACCCCAAATGTTACCTAAATCTTAGAAGATGAATACTATTATTAGCCCTAACAATTGTAAGATAAAATTTTTGATAAACAAAAATATTCCACTTTCCTTATAAGAAAATTCCATCCCAGCAATAGCCCTCACTCCCAACCTTTTTTTTTAAATCTTGAGAACTTTTCCATTTTTCACAAATGGAACTTTCCGTGACCTTTGAAGGAACACCCTTTATCAGCGACGGTTGCGTCACCTTATTAGTGTAAACTGTTAGACTTGATAGGGCAACCTTTAGTTTTTTTTACAAAATTTTGTGGTTTCGAACTATGCCTGTTTCGAAAAGTTTAAAATTTATAAAAAAATGTTCTTTGGTGCCATTTTTTTTAGTTGATTTGTTTTGTAAAGAAAGTTTTTACCATTTTTCGTTTTGTAAGGAAAGTTCTTGCCATTTTTTAGTTTGTAAGGAAAGTTCTTGCCATTTTTTAATAAAAATTTGGTTTTTAAGCATTTGTAGACTGCGGGTGACAAGTTATACGATGATTCTTTCAATAAACCTTTGTAAAGAAAGTTCTTGCCATTTTTTAGTTTGCAAAGAAAGTTCTTGCCATTTTTTGTTCTGTAAACAAAGTTCTTGCCATTTTATGTTTTGTAAAGAAAGTTTTTACCATTTTTTGTTTTGTAACGGAAGTCCTTGCCATTTTATACTTTTTTAAAGAAAATTCTTTTTCGTTCTCTAATAAAAATTCAAAATTTATAATATCGACCAAGCCCCTTCGCCCACGTACCAGAATGTCACCGAAAACCGTAATAATTTCCTTTTTACTATGTTTTGTTTACGCCGTTCCGCCATCGTTCCTCGTCGTAAGTCAAAAGTCAGTAAAGCGGAAGTCACTCGGTTCAAATCCTTTTTCTTACTTTTTCTTTCGAATCAGGTTGGGGAAGCCGGCTGGCCAGACAAATTATCCCCCCCAAGATTGTTCTCGAGGAAACACAAAACGTGCCGGAGCGAAAAAATGCCAATAACATTGTTTACAGAACAAAAAACAGCAAGGACTTTCTCTACAAAACAAAAAATGGCAAGAACTTTCTTTACAAAACACGAAAAGTTTATCCGTCGTATAACTTGTCACCCACAGCCTGCACAGTGCTTAAAAATTCAATTTTCATATACAAATGACAAGAACTTTCTTTACAAAACAAAAAATGACAAGAACTTTCTTTCCAATCCATTTATCTAAAAAAATTAAATTCAAATTTTCAAAAAATTCGAAAAAATTAAAAATTTCATGCCCTAAAGCCAAAAGAACATCCGTTCTAATCCTATTCTGCCATGAAAAAAACGCATTAGGGCGACAAAACGAACAGAGGTTATATATTTGTGTCATAGCCATCAATCCACACCCACCTCGGGTCGAGCTCGTCAGTTCAAGAGCACGGAACAGCAAATGTTAAAAAGTTTGACAAAATAGTAAAAAAATGAGCTCGTGATTTCGAAATTTGGATTACAATTGAAATTTTGGAATGGTTTTTAAATAGTTAATTTTTAAATCCGCACCGTGTCCCCAAGTCATTCATTTTGATTTGCACAGTGCACACTTTAAACTGAATTTTAAGATTTTGCAAAGAAAGTTCTTGCTAACTTGCGCTTTGTAAAGAAAGTTCTTGACATTTTTTATGACAACTTGATTTTTAAGCACTGTGCAATCTGTGGGTGACAAGTTATACAATTATCCTTTAGATAAGCCCTAGTATAAAAAATTTATACCGTCTTAAACATTGTAAAAAAGTTTTTGCCATTTTGTAAAAAATCCTGTTAGCTAAAGCATCTTTTTCGTATTTTACAAAAAAAGCGTATTATCAAAACAAACAATTATTTTGCACGGTGCAATGGGAAACTTGCACTGTGCATAAAATAATTTTTTTGCACCGTGCAGTCAAACAAATTTAAAAAAAAAACTATATTTTTTTAAAAACCTTTAGTTTTCACAATAAAAATTGTAAAGTAAATAAAAAACCATAAGCTCTACGCCCTTATTTTACAAACTAACAAATTTTAAGAAAATGGTACATATTATCCATCCCAAAACCAAAAATTCTAGGTCCAAAAGCATTGCTCACCCTTTTCAGTCCAATATGTTTTATACATATTGTCCTCGCACTGCCATTTCCACATAAAACAAGGCTTTAAAAAGCTGGGCCGTTCTCCACAAACGAAAGGGGGGCTTCCCCGTCGTTTCGAGCAGACAGCGTTCCTCCCCCTTCCCCACTGCTTTCTGTGTTCTTTAATGTTTCTTTTCTATTAAAATGTTCAGTTTTTTGCAAAAACAGAGAAGTCGAAAGCCAAACATTATTCAAATAGTGTTTCTCATAAACAGAGGCAAAAGGAGGTCTAATTTGATTTGAAATTTTTTAAATTTGAAATTTAAATAAACATTTTTGATGGAAACAAAGTTTTTGCTATGTAAAAAAAGTAAATTTTCTGTTATAACAACCTTAACCTACCATATTGTACACTACCTTATCATACCACATCCTACTTTACCCTACCCACCCAAAAAATAGTGATTCTCGCAACTGCAGGCGACAAGTTATACGACAAAATAAGGTTCTGGCTTTTGTAAAGAAAGTTTTTGCCATTTTTTTCACTTGTAAAGACATTTTTTTTATTCATTCTTCCTTTTAATTTTAAAATGGCAAGAACTTACTTTCCAAACAAAAAATGGCAAGAACTTTCTTTACAAAACCAAAAATGGCAAAAACTTTCTTTACAAAACCAAAAATGGCAAGAACTTTCTTTACAAAACCAAAAATGGCAAGAACTTTCTTTACAAAACCAAAATAGCAAAAACTTTCTTTCCAAACCAAAAAAACGTAAAAACTTTGTTTCCACTGTTTAAAGCCCACATTATAACAACAAAATGATTACATACAAAAAACAAATGTCATATTATTTGTTTACCACGAAGAATCCATGGTAACCGCCTATAAATACGAATTTACTTAATATTCTTATTGTCGTGCGACGAAAAAAACAAAAAAGGACAAAAATTTAATGTACTAAAGAGTATCGTTATTAGAGTATTTACCGCGCAATCACAAATTTTTTAATTTTAGGCGTTGTAAAGAAAGTTTCTGCCATTTCTTGCTTTGTAAAGAAAGGTCTTGCCGTTTTTGTTTTGTAAGGAAAGTTCTTGCAAATCAACTCAATAATATCATCATGTAACGATTTGTACTTGAAGTGACCTTAACCAAGAGCAATTCGTTACTCTTTAATCGTTAAGATTACAATAAAATTTCAAAGAAAACGCCTTGTTTTCCCATCGAAAACCAAAGTTTAGAATTGTTGCAAGGCTTTTGTAGGGATGAATTTTAATCTTTGAGTAACAAACTTTGTTTTGTCAGATGAAGAATAGCACGAATTTTCTTACAGACAAAAATTGGCAATAACTTTCCTTACAGAACTAAGAATAGCAAAAGCTTTGTTTACAAAACGAAAAATGTCAACAACTTTCTTTACAAAGCAAAAATAGCAAGAACTTTCTATACAAACAAAAAATGGCAAAAACTTTCTTTACAATTTATAAAATGACAAAACCGCTCTTTACAGACTGCCAAAAATGCCATTATCCTTTTGCACAGTGCACTATTAAAAAAATAGTAAAAACTCAAAAAGATATAATGAATGATAAGACATATAGACATAAACCAAAGTTTAAAAAAACGCTATATCCATGTAGTATGTACAGTTTATTTGACAGTAAAAAATATATATGTAAGGTTATAAGTGAGTATCGTTTAAAAAGCTTAAAAGTGTTACTATTTACAACCCGCCAAGTTCAATGACAATATAAATACCATAAGAAAATAGCAAAAATCCTTAAAATAAAGATAAACGGTCAATTTTTGATATTTTTCGACCATTTTTTTCTTTTTTTCATTCAATTTCAAGAACTTCAATATCATCATCACAAGCATCTGTAGAAGAACAGGGCTTGGCTTGACCAAGCCATTTTTCCAGTCCTGTTGATGGTGGTCTGTCTAAAAATACGTATTTTAATTTTTATAAACAAAACACCAAAAAAATAAAGTTTAAAATTGTTTGTCATTTTTGACCTTTTAAAGAAAGTTCTTGCAGTTTTTCGTTCTTTAAAAGAATTTTTTGCAATTTTTGGTTTTGTAAAGAAAGTTCTTGTCATTTTTTAACTGGTCTACAAATTTCTTGACATTTCAAATACTCTAACCATCAGGGACGTCGCTACGGATTTTCTCTGGGGGAGGGGGAGCTCAAAAAAATTTTTTTCGTCTACCTACCTGTGGATCGATTTTCCAAAAAATTTTTTTTTCGTTGTTTCGCGTACAGGTACATGTGGAATTTTTTTCGGATCGGCTCTGGGAGAGGGGGTACCCCCCCCTTACCCCCTCCCCCAAACGACGTCCCTGCTAACCATAGCTATTACCCTGTTCCACACCAAAATACCTACTTTTCTCTTCATCTCCAGATGTTTTCTTTAATTTTCCCTCATGTTCACCATCATTCACCCCATCCTCCTGCATGATTTCGACACTATCATCACTTTCCAAGTCTACCACATCAATCCCGCTGACATTCTCCGTTCTGGGCATGGGTTTTTTGGGTAAAAACTGTGATAAGGTTAGGAAATTTTCCAATTTTTCACCAATTTTCGCGGTTTTTCCGGTCATTTTTTGTTTTTTCTTTCCTTTTTTGATGACTTTCTTGTCTTTGGTCGTGTCCACATTTCGTTGATAGACAGGTGGAGGTCTGGGTATTCGTCGTTCATCCATATCTTCCACTGCCACTTTGAAATAGTCGGAAATTAGGCTTACATCGGCTGGGATTGGCTCGAACCCGCCGACGCTCATTGAGATGTGGTTAATTGGGGTTGTCCTGGAAAGTTATTCATAACAAAAAATTGTAAGAACTTTCTTTACAAAACAAAAAATGGCAAGAACTTGCTTTACAAAACCGAAAATTCAAAACCTCACCACTCCTCTATATTGTCGTTGCCATAAAGCTCATTGAAAAACTTTTTGACCAACATCAAAAACGTTTTTACCGGTTCGCCATGCCCATAAACGCCAGGAATTTGAAGAGTTTTAGTTTTTCGTTTGAAATCGAGTAAAACTGCCATTTCCAACTTTTTGCCAATCCTTTTGTTCTGAAATTGCAATACATGTAACAATTTTAATACAACCGAAAACCACCGTATTTTACCAAAAATATTACCTAAAACATACATTTTTTTAAAATTGTTACCTAAATTTCAATGCTTGGAAAAAATTGTTACCTCAAATCTATTTTTGAAAAAAAAACTTATGTTTAGCATTTTACGTTACCTTATCACCTAAAATTGAACTTTTTGACAAAACTATTACCTAAAATTCAAGTTTTACAAAAACTGTTACCTAAATTTTTAATTTTCCTTCAGTATTTAAACCATAAAAGCTTTAGATTCAAATTTGTCAAATTCCTTCAACCACCTTCATAAAATGTTACCTAAATCACGATTTTTCTAAGAATTCATATCTAAACCCTACCTTATTCTTGTCAGCAACGCATTTATGAGTAAAAATCTTTGCCATCTTCTCAGCAAAGTCCCACAACTCTTGTTTGGACAAAGTAACGTTCTGCTTTGACAGAGATAACTGTTTAGTGTTGAGTCGATGTTGCACTGGTTCATCTTCGAATCCATATGAAAGTTGTCGTATCTTTCTCAAAGCATATGGAAAAGCTTCAGCAATGACTTCATCTGGCAATGATTGGATTTCTCCTAAATTCTGAAACAAAATTTGATAAAATGTTAGCACAAATTTTCAATTTTTAGCTTGTTTTGAGCTCACCAAATCAAAATTATATTATTCATGATAATATCAACTAAAAATAGTTCCTAGAACGTATAAAACAAGATATGAAAACAACCATCGTATTTTACTTACAGTAACATTTAGTTTTTGCATGATTTCCTGACCCCAATTGCCTCCAAGACCTCTGAATTCACTAACTGGGGTATTACAAACAAGCTCGTCGATTTTATGAACAGGCAACACTGTGTATGCATTTGGCTTGTTTATACCACACACAATCTTTGCGAGCATCTAAAACAACATTATAAACGTCTCGAACTTCAAAAAAGCAGCATAAAACAGCAAAAAAGACAAAAAATTATATTATCCATGTCCATCTGAATTCAACCTGTTATAACTTCATGCACATATCACAAAAAACTACAAAAACAACACAAAACATTAAAAATACCTTATTAACTCCAATTCCAGCAGAGCAAGTGTATCCGGTAACTTCTTTTATCCTTTGACACATCTGAATCGCCACATATGTACCAACAAGTAAATGCATGTTAAGATCACTGTGTTCGCTAACCATATCCTTCAAATTTGGTGCTAATGGCTCCTTTGAATACATGAACGTATTTTTAAATACTTCAGATGCACCCTGAAAAAATTTTAAAATTAGAAAATGGCAAAACTTTCATATCAACTTGTGTTATAGTAGAACACTAAAAAAACGTTCAGAAACTGGTTAAACCAATCTTTCTTTACAAAAATCTATTCAGGAAAGCTTTACCTCACTATTGAGCACCTCTTTAAAACCTTCAGTATCAACTACACGATGTGTTACAGCTGTGAGATCGATATAACATTCATCAACAGACGCCCTTTCAATTTTAGCATCTTCTCCACAAAATTCTGCGATTGCTTCGAAAATACTGGCGCTTTCTTCACTAAATTTTAAATGAATATAAAGAACAATATTGACTTACTAATGAAACTCCAAATTAGCCAAATCAATGTCTGGATATTGAGGTATTCGCGATAACTTCACGTTAGGACAAATTTTTTGAGCCTCTGCCAATCTGACGCCTTTCTTTACTCCAAGTTTGCGTGCTTCGTAACTTGAAGACAAGATTCTAAAAGCAAAAATGTTAAAGAATATAAATATTATTATAAAAGGTTCAAAACTTTATAAAAATTCAGCTATGAAAAGCAAAAACACCAATTTCCCAATCCACCCTCATGAATAATATAATTCCGCTCCTGAAATGTAAAACAAGCTCACAAATCTCGTTGTCCATACTGACATACAACCACAGGTTCATCAGCTAGCTCTGGATTCAGTTTTCGAGCCACTTGAACGTAAAAACAATCTACATCAAGCAAACAAATAATTCGTTGATGGGCATAAAAGCCTTCCATTCGTCAAAAAAATAGTCAAGATAAATTAAACTTTATATAAATTGTTAGTACAGAGTAGAATATAGATTAATCAAGTAACATTTAGTAGTTTTTGTTAGGTTTATAAAGGATTTACAGAGATTTTTCAGAGAAAAAACAAAATTTTGTCTTTGAAAAATAAATTTCGCGAAAATTGCGCCAGAAAGGGACGGAAGGCCAAAATATAAAAAAAAGAGCGAAAAATGAGCGAATTTGAATTAAAGTTTATTATAAAATAGTAAGTAAAAGTGATATTTATAGTTCAACACCGTATTGAATATTTATTATTGAATATTTATTCAATCTGGCAATAACGTTCTTCACAAACAAAAATGGCAAAACTTTCTTTACAAGACTCAAAATGATAAGAACTTTCTTTACAAAACATAAAAAGGCAAGATTTCTTTACAAAACAGCAAGTGGCAAGAACTTTCTTTACAAAACAGCAAATGGCAAGAGCTATCTTTACAAGACAAAAAATGGCAAGAACTTTTTTTACAAAACGCAAAATGGCAAAAACTTTCTTTACAAGTCTCAAAATGAAACAACTTTTCCTTTTTTGTTTATATCATGCAATTTTAAGCCTTTATACCTCTTGATATTAATCGCTGTCAAATTTATTCAAAAGACCATTAAAATACAGTTTGCCATTTTTTGTGATCGGGCCTTGTGTCGCTTCGGTAGGACAATGTTTTGGCCAAATCGAACATTCTTTTTAGGTTTTCTTTTTTGATTTTGTGTCCTTATCGAAAGAAACATTGTTTTCCTATCAGAAATTTTTAAAAAGTAGAAGAAAAACCCGGTTTTTTCGAATTTTTTAAAAACTGCCATTTTTGTTAAACTTTTGTTATTAATTTTCATATTTTAATGCTCAACTGACCAATTTTGATATTTCCAACACCTTCTTCACCTTTTTCTTTCAGGTCTACCTCGATCAATCACTGAAAACAACGTTCAAGTCAACCCAAAGTCAATGGAAGCCGATAATGAAGAAGAGAACTTCTATGCCATTATTAGGCAACCTCCAAGTGCTCCCATGCCTGAGATATACGATACTGTTCCAGTAAAGATCCAAATTGAACAAAAGGCCAATGAGAAGACCAAGAAGTCACAATACAGTGTCACTAACTTCAGAGGACAGTACTATGTCTACCCTTTTTTCGTTTGCAACATTCCTGGAATTGTAAGTTCTGGGTAGGGCATGTCAAAAGAGTAGAGTAGGGTAAGGAAAAGAAAGTTAGGGAATAACAGAGTAAGAAAGGGCAGGGGAAATTGAGGAAGGGTAGGGTAAGTAGGGCGATGTCAAGAAGGGTAAGGCAACGCAAAAAAGTCAGGGCATAACAGAGCAAAGTAAGGTAGGGCAAGATACCGTAAGGTAGGGTAGGCATACCCAAGTGAGGTATAGTAGGGTAGGGCAAAAAAAAGAAAGCCAGGGCATGGCAGAGCAAGATAGTGTAAAAGTAGGGCAGAACAGGATTGGGGAACAGGGCAGGGTATAGTAAGGTAGGGTTGAGTAAGAGCAGGGCTGATTAGGGTAGGGTAGGATGGCGTAGGAAAAGTTAGAATTAGGCAGGATAGGGTAGGGTAGGGTAGGGTAAGGTAGGGTAGGGTAGGGTAGGGTAGGGTAGGGTAGGGTAGGGTAGGGGTAGGGTAGGGTAGGGTAGGGTAGGGTAGAGTAGGGTAGGGTAGGGTAGGGTAGGGTAGGGTAGGGTAGGGGTAGGGTAGGGTAGGGGAGGGTAGGGTAAGGTAGGGTAGGGTAGGGTAAGGTAGGGTAGGGTAGGGTAGGGTAGGGTAGGGTAGGGTAGGGGTAGGGTAGAGCAGGGTAGGGTAGGGTAGGGTAGGGTAGGGTAGGGTAGGGTAGGGTAGGGTAGGGGTAGGGTAGGGTTAGGGTAGGGTAGGGTAGGGTAGGGTAGGGTAGGGTAGGGTAGGGTAGGGTAGGGTAGGGTAGGGTAGGGGAGGGTAGGGTAAGGTAGGGTAGGGGTAGGGCAGGGTAGGGTAGGGCAGGTTAAGGTAGGGTAGGGTAGGGTAGGGCAGGGCAGGGTAGGGCAGGGTAGGGTAGGGCAGGGTAGGGTAGGGTAGGGGTTAGGGCAGGGTAGGGTAGGGCAGGGTAGGGCAGGGTAGGGTAGGGCAGGGTTAGGGCAGGGTAGGGCAGGGTAGGGTAGGGGTAGGGCAGGGTAGGGTAGGGCAGGGTAGGGCAGGGTAGGGTAGGGTAGGGTAGGGGGAGGGTAGGGTAAGGTAGGGTAGGGTAGGGTAAGGTAGGGTAGGGTAGGGTAGGGTAGGGTAGGGTAGGGTAGGGTAGGGTAGAGTAGGGTAGGGTAGGGGTAGGGTAGGGTAGGGTAGGGTAGGGTAGGGTAGGGTAGGGTTAGGGTAGGGGTAGGGTAGGGTAGGGTAGGGGTAGGGTAGGGTAGGGTAGAGTAGGGTAGGGTAGGGTAGGGTAGGGTAGGGTAGGGTAGGTTAAGGTAGGGTAGGGTAGGGTAGGGTAGGGTAGGGTAGGGTAGGGGTAGGGTAGGGTAGGGTAAGGTAGGGTAGGGTAGGGTAGGGTAGTGTAGGGTAGGGTAGGGTAAGGTAGGGTAGGGTAGGGTAGGGTAGGGTAGGGTAGGGTAGGGTAGGGTAGGGTAGGGTAGGGTAGGGTAGGGTAGGGTAGGGTAGGGTAGGGGTAGGGTAGGGTAGGGTAGGGTAGGGTAGGGTAGGGTAGGGTAGGGTAGGGAGGGTAGGGTAGGGTAGGGTAGGGGTAGGGTAGGGTAGGGTAGGGTAGGGTAGGGTAGGGTAGGGTAGGGTAGGGTAGCGTAGGGTTTTTACTTTGCAAATTTTTAGGTATTTCTTCGCCTGCTAGCCCTAATAAACGTTGAAGTAGCGGGACTAGGTTTCCTTTTAGCCGATGACTGGCACAGAAACATCCGCAACCGCGAAAGATGCATTTTTCAACCTGTTGCCGGCTACAAACTTTTCCAACAAGTTTGTGATAAGAACAACGTGTTTTACTATAGATGAACGAATTGTTATATGCAATTCAATTGTTTGCTGCTATTCATTGTCTGTTGTATGCCATTTTCAAAAAGACCATCACCAGGGCTGAAAATCTGCCTTATCTTAACGTAAGTTGCGAATGAGTGGCAAGAACTTTTTTTACAAAACAAAAAATGGCAAGAACTTTCTTTACAAAGCAAAAAATGGCAAGAGCTTTCAGTTTTTTGGAATACCATACTCAATCTTCTGGATAATATTCGAAGGTTACCGTGTTGTTTTCCCACCAGACATAATAATTTTGGTGCAGAACCTTCTCGGTTACTTCGTTACGACAAATGTAGCCAGCTATATTGACAGTGAATTTTGTGTTTGGTTACCCAAAATTGACAAGTCTAAAGTGGCAGTGCCTGTGGTGGAAAGAAAGTTTTTCATTTGGCGTTTGGGTCTTGTGGATCTTTGGAAAAGACAAGAGGATAAGTGTGTTACGGTAAGTCGAATTTACTTTATCCTACCCTACCCTACCCTACCTTAACCTACCCTACCCCACTTTACCCTACCCTACCATAGACATGAGGAACAGGTCGCGTCTAACACTCAAGCCCTGCTCGATCTAAATTTCGCTCAAGGGCGGCCCGGCCCATATTTGTCTTTACGTGCCAACGGGCCGGGCTTCTCAGTCCGGGTGTTGATTTTAAGACTTGATCTATATTTGGGTTAAGGCCGGCTTGGCCCGTTTCTTATGTCTACCGTACCATACCCGATTCTATCTTACTCGTCCCTGCCCTACCGCACCCTACACTACCATACCCCACCCTACCCGACTCTATCTTACCCTATCCTACAAAAACCTGTCCTACCGCATCTTACTCTACCGTATCTTACACTACCATACTCTGCTTTACTTTTTTCAACACAAACAATTTTGTAGTTCTTTGGAGTGCTCTGTGCCACTATTGACTACGGTATAATGAATATTTTTCTAATTGTATTATACGACAATGGACATGCACATCCTTTCAACTTTTGGACATTGCTTACAATCGTATCTTGTATTGAATGGAAAACGTTTGTCGGTTTTCGATTGGATGGGTTTAAGCATATCAAAGTAAGTTTTACGAGAGGATAGGTTAAGGTAATTCTTTTTAAAGAAAGCTAGGGTAAAGGAGTGCAGGGTAGAGTAGGGTAAGATAGGAAAAATTAAGGTGGGAAAGGATGAGACAGCATAGGGTAGGATAAATCAGGGTACACTAGAGTAAGATAACATAGTATAAAATAGGATTATGTAGGATAGAGCAAGGTAAGACATATTATTATAGAGTAAAAAGGATAAAGACAAGAACAACATGTTAATCTAGGGAAAGGTGGTTTAATGTTGAAAAAATTCAGGTATAGTTGGGCGGGGTAGAAAAAAAAGTTAGGGTATGCCAATATTAATGAAACCAATCAATTTCAGCTGTACCAAAGTGTGTTATGTTTTGGCTTGGCCATTTGGTATCTGATATTGAAAAACTCTGAGCCTGCACTTTATTACTTGTTAATGTCTGGTGCTTCAGGGTGTTTGGCTCTAATCGAAATCATGTTCTACTTTCAACTCCAAACACTTCTCAAAACCTGAAATTTCAATATTATACTGTTTCGTTATCACTCTATGTTTTTAATGTTCAATATACTTTATCAATGTGTCTGCAATCCTCTATATACTTCATCAACAGGTTTGTAATCCTGTACATAATGTTAATAAACTGCCAATGTTGTATTATTATCGTTTATTAACTTATTAAACAAAAAGAAACAGTTCAAAACAAAAAAAGATCAACAAAGAAATGGAATAACAACTGAAAACAACATTGGTAATATAAAGGTAATATCAAGAAACAAGGCTAGGCCATAGAGAAAACGTCATGTTTTCAACAAAGATAGAGGTATGTAAGGGTAAGTTTCTCACCTCTAGATATATGGACGCAATACCTTTAAAAAGAATGAGCATATAAAGGTAATATCAACAACATAAAAGAAAAAAGGCAGCAGAGACACAACTACAGGAGATGCTTGAGGTGAATAGGGTGGATCGACCCGTAGAGCCAATCCAAAACCAAATCCACAGGTCCCTGAAAGCCAGTATCATTTACAATAACATAGTACTAAGTTGTTCAAAAAATTTTGTGCCCCACCCCCGAAAGTTTCTTTGAAAAATAATCCTGCGACACTTCTAAATAGTCACAGAACTAATTGAACAACCTAATATCATGACAAAACAATCCTTTTTGGGTATAGCAACCTATAACAATACATAAGGCTGTTCAAATAATTCGGAGACCCTTTAGAAGTAAGAAATGAACAACAACTTAACAACAAGCTCAACTTCAAAGATTCGAATTGATAATGGAAATGTTTCTGTCCGGCTGTGGCGAAAGTGGAGTTCTCTGGCCTACCTTCTTCAGCTTGTTGTAGAAGATACTGTGAACAATACCGGCAATGGTGCAAAGCGAGCCAAAGAACAGAATAATGATAAACAAACGTCTATTTTCGGTTCTGTAAATTCCGAAGTCAATAAAGTGCAAAGCTGTCATACCTGCAGCACATGTGAAGGAAAGAAAAGCCAGTGTTACCTAAAACGCCATAATATACTGAAAAAGACATATAACACAGAAAATACTAAAATTATTGAAATGATACACAAGTTTTTCGTTTTCAAGTTTTGATACCTACCATAATATACTTGAATCCATTGCGTCGATGTCCAATGAAAGCCTTGAGTTCAAAGCAGCTGATCGCCAGCAAAAAGAGGAACACAACGCTCAATTCCACAAATCCAACAGCAAGAGAAAAAAAAGCAATTGACAGCTGGAATGGCTACACACAAGATTGCACTGATCAAACTGTAGGTCTAAAAAAAATAAACTTAAAGCCTAAACCATACGACCAATACAAAAAAAGCTTTTAAGAACCTAGCTCTATAAACGCCAAAACGTAAACTTAAAACAAAAGTAAGACATTTCGTTACGAAGAACTTACATTCAACTTGTTGCAGTAAAGTCTCTTCCTCAAATCGGCCGAAAGTTCATGCCAAATGAAGATATTCTTGTTTGGAACATGCTGAGCAACACGTTGAGCATCAACATTCTTCGAAAACCAACAATATCCAGTCTTCACGTAGGTAACAACGTTCAAACTAACAATGTATCCAAACACCGATCCCACTAACAGAACGACGTGAATAGGAAAGCGTTCTTTTTGCAGAGATATACCAATAAAGACAATTGAAATTGGGAAGCACACAAACTAAAAAAACGCATAAACACCTCAAAATATACATAATATCATTCGAATTAATTAAAATAATATTCAAAACATTAATATTATGTCAACTTACATTCAAAAAAGGCAAATTTTCAGCTTTGATGATTGTTTTCCGGAAAATGGCATAAACCAAGCAATGAACAGCAGCAAAAAGTTGAACAAAGTATAACACCGCAACCATTTGAACAAGATAATAATATCTTCGTGAGCTAACGTCCACATAACGATATCGATCAATGCGGTTCATCATAAAACGGTGAACCGCAATTATACTGATAAAAGCCACAGCAACATTGATCACCGCCATCAAACGAAGCCAAATCTAAATCACAAAATTATACTTGTTCACAGCTTTTAATTTGAATTTTAAATCCCGTAAACATAACTTTACCATCAAGTTCATCAAAAATACGTTTTATTTTATCGATAACAAACCTTTTGCTACCAAAAAAAACGATTTATCTAAACATAAACAAAAAAAACAAAAAAATAAACTCACCAAGACGTTAATGCTCAAGAACCTCAACGGATACTCGTAATATTGACCTCGGAACGCGACCACATTGACTCGCCGATCAGCTACACCAACAGTAACAGCTTCTGGAGGTGCTGAAGGTCCAGTTGAACGCGGCAAAATAGGATAAAGTTCATGTTGTTTAATCTTCTCCATAGTCCTCAATACTACCTAAATATCAAAGCGTTTATATAAATTTACACGTATATTCATGAGAAATATAATAATAAAGTTATTGACGAACAATATTGCGTCAAGCCGGAGAAATCTAGCCACAAAACGCGGATCTTAACCTTTATTTATAGTAAATATCATGAATAACATCATATTTACGCTGTAGATTAACTTAAAGTTTAAAAGTGACAGTTTATAAGGGTAAAAACTGTAAAACTAGGTCTAACGGTCGATTTTTCTACTTTTTACAAGTTTTCGGCGTAAAAACGCGCTGATTTCAATCAGGTTTTCGCGGTGGGACCAAATCCATTGCGACATTGTTTCACAAAAACAAAAGCAAGACCGTATACGGCCGTATTTTAGACAAATTCTCTATATGGTTAAGATAATTTATTAATTTAATACGGTCCACATTATTAAACAATACAAATATTAACTTTCAACAACATAAAAAAGGGCCAAATAGAGGTATTATTTTCAATAACAATATAGGTTCAAGTGTAACATCTTCAACGGCGTTAAACCTTCAAAAACGCTGTTTTTACAATAAATGATTCCGTTTAGTAGTCCTCAAAGTCAATAGTCTCTTAAATTATATCCATTTTTAGCTTGCTTCAGCTTGTTATAGAAAATGACATGAATAACAGCGCAGACAGTGTAAATACTGGCAGATGTCAACAAGTGCACAATTGCAAATTGTGCTTGCTCCATTATACGCTTGTGCCTTTCATCTCCAATACAGAGGTACAGAAAAACGGCCATAACGATTGAATAAATGTGGAACAGTCCTGACATTGCTGCCTAAAATTGCTTCTTTCCTCAAAAAAATATTATAGGAAGATGGGTGATAGAGAGAGAGAGAAGCCCAAAACGTAAATTATAGATGACCCATCTAATACACATCTTATTATACCAGAAGAGGACCAAAAACCTGAATTTTCAATCAACAACAACAAAAACCCTACCATAATATACTTGAAGCCATTTTGCCGATGTCCTATGAAAGCTTTGAGTTCAAAACAGCTTATAACCGTCAACATCATCGTAACCGAACAGAAACTAGCACGACGGACGGAATGATCCATATAGCAACGTATACCTGGGAGCAAGACACATGTAAGGGCACAGAATCGACCGAAAACCTAAAATATCAAAAAAGCTTCACTTATGATCCAAAAAACAAATAAACTTACATCCAGATCAGTAGAATACCATACTCTATATACTAAATCGTTAAGTAGATCATCCCAAATAAAGATTTTCTTCTCTGGAATGGCTTGACCACAACGTTGAGGCCGCAACTCTTTGGAGAACCAACAATATCCAGTCTTGGTGTAGGTGACGATGTTAGTGCTGACAAAGTATCCGAATAACGCTACCAGTTGCAAAGTCACCTCCATTGCCGGAATGTTATGCCCGATTTCGAAGAACACCCAGAAAGTTGCAATTATAACGGTTATAAACTGAAAAATAGATAAATATTAGACTTGATTTACTTGTAATCGCATGAAAACAGGTCCAAACCTAGCAAAAACAAGATAAATAGACCAAAAAGACAAACCTAAAACATTAACAAAGAAATAGCAAAGCCAATTCTTCATTTATCAACCCAAATAACCTCGATATTACCTAAACTTACGTTCAAATACGGCACATTTTCAGATTCAATGATAGTTCTCTTGAAAATCGCAAAAAACCAGCAATGTAGAGCAGTAATGATCTGCACATAGTATAGAACATTAGTGGCAAAGAAAGGGTGAACAACATTTTTGCAACAAGTATTCATCATTCTTAACACCCATGCAGTAGCGGAGAAATAACCAAGCACTGCTACAGCAATGTTGACCACTGCCAGAATATGAAACCATACCTGGAAGCTTAGACCTTAAGCAAAATAAATAAATTTTAGCGTTCTCTTGAGCTTATAAAATTGGTTTAGCAGCTGGTAGATTCGGATTTTGATAATTTTCGTTGATAGGAAGATCTTTTGCTCAATAACTAGATGTTTGATAACCAAAACAAATATTAATCCAAATAAAGGATGGACAAAAGCTAAACACAACTATTTCCTATGATTATAAATAAAAATTCATCGTTTCCAGGCTTGTAAAAACAATATTTATCCACATTCACCAAAAGAAAGGTGTTTTCCATCGATAACATGTTAAAAAGCCAAAAACAAATTTTAACCTAAACAAAGAACAAATATAAACCAAAAAAAAAACGTACCATAGCATCGACCTTCATGAACGTTGCCGGATATGCGTAATATTTGCCTCTAAAAGCAACAACATTAACCTGTTCAACACTGACATAGACAGATTTGTGAGACTTACTAGAATGTTTGAAAACTTCTTTGTATTTAAGCATTGCCATTACGCTTGATGTTGCCTGAAAATCATTAGAAGTTTATTCTGAATTCATATTGAAGCCTTTAACAAATAATGTTAAACATAATAAGAGTAAAAGAGCGAAATTCGTAGGATTAACACATTTGATATCATGACTAATATAATTTAACATGAAAAATGAAAAATATTGTGGATATCAATGAAGGAAATAGTATTTTGTTTTTTTTTACCGAAACTTGTTAGTTGCAAATTTACATTTTTAATTTACGTAACCGAGCAAGAAGCCAACTTAAGTTTTCGTGATGGGACCAAACTCAAAACCACATGTTTCTACAAAGTACAAATCCATACCGTATGTTACACTAAATCACATCCTAATCAATCTAAATTTCTTTATTTTAATGTTCATTACTAAAAAAACTCAATATATCACGCTAAAAACCCTTGACATTAAAATTTATTAAAAGTTGAACAACAATATTCGTGAAAACAACATAGCAAGGCTGAGCCATGAGAATCAAAATGAAAATAATTTCATACTTTATTACCATTCAAAAACTTTTAACAACAGGTATTATAAAAAAATGTTAACAATATTATGATTGGCTAGGCCATGAAACAACATAATTTATATGAGAAAAATAATAGTTGTGAAGACATAAAGTGAGTGATTGGTTCTGAAGAGTTATTGAGATTAAATTTACTAAACGGTAGCAACGTTGTCGGCCTTTTTCAGCTTTTGGTAGAAGAGATTGTGAATAACAGCGGCCATAGTGCAAGCACAACCAAATGCCAGATACTCGAAAATGGCTTTTTTTGAGATGAAGATGTAATATTTGTCGTCAAAAGTGTAGGCATAAGCCAAAAGGCCGGCGATTGTAAAGTAATGTAGTGAGAGTGTTGCCTAAATTCATACTATAATATATAAAACAGGTACTATATTAAAGAAAGGTCTTGAATCATCAATACATCTTCGCACGGAAGTAACATTGTAGTATAATAGATAATATGAAGCAATGAATCATAATGCTAGACATGAGAAACGGGCCGGGCCTGAATGTTAGGCCCGGCCCGTTTCTCATGTCTACATAAAGCACAAAATGTAATTTTTCCACTAATAAACCCAAAAATTCGACCCAGTAACCTACCATAGTATAATAAAACGCATTTTTCCGATGTCCAATGAAAGCCTTGAGTTCAAAGCAGCTGAAAGCCAAAATAACCGCTGAGAAACAATAAATTTGGAACGGACGATCACGGTAATCAATGTAACAACGAGTAGCTGGAACCAGCACACAGAAAACTCCACAGACTAATCCGATAACCTAAAGGCGAAGACAAATCATAAATAACAATACAACTTACATTCAGTTCATGGAAACTTCGCATTCTTTTCCCCAACTCGACCAGCAGTTCATGCCACATGAAGAAATTTTTGCTTGGAACTGATTGAACTCCGGATTGAGAAGGAGCCTCTTCAGAGAAACAACAATACCCGGTTTCGACATACGTAACAATGTTCAGGTTAACAAAATATCCAAATAATGCCACTGCCAGCAAAACCACCTCGACTGGTACCACTCTACTGAAGATTGAGTAGAATACCCACCAAATTGCGATTGGAATGGAAATGAACTGAAAAATAGGTAAATATTACACTTGTATTCCTTATAATCTTCTCAAGTCAAGCCTAAAACTAGCAAAAACAAGATAAATAGCAAAAAATAATTCGTAAAACATTGTCAAAAAGATATAAAAATCAATTTTTCGTTTATCTTTACAAATAACCCCAAGATTAACTAAACTTACGTTCAAATAAGGCAAATTTTCAGCTTTAATGACTGTTTTTTGAAAAAGCAGATAAATAAAGCAATGGAAAGCAGCAATAATCTGAATAATGTAAAAAACCATATTGGCTTTCGTAGGAAGAGTAACACCACGATAATAATACTTCTTCGATAACAATTGATCAACAAAAAAATAACCAGATCCAGCCATAAAGATGTTGATCACCGCCAAGAGATAAAGCCATACCTAAAAGTTTTCTGTCAATTTAGAAAGTTATACATCTTTATTAGCTTATAAACTTAATTTAAGAGCTTTTAAAAGGAATTTTAAATAACTTTTGCCAAAGATAAGCTTTCTTTCATCAATAGCAAGATGTCCAACTCCCAAAACCAATGTTAACCTAAACAAATAACAAAAACCCCTAAAATTAACTTACCATGGCATCGATCTTCATGCACTTTGCCGGATAATCGTAATTTTTTCCTCTGAAGTCAATAACATCGACCTATTCATCCACTACATCAACATAGACTGCTCCAGGAAGAGTTGAAGATTTACCAGAAGGTTTGAGAAGCTCCGTTTTTGAGTCCATTTCGCTCAACTATAACTAAAAATAATTAGAAAATGGCATAGAAGCTATTTATGTACAATATTATTATAGGCATTGGTAAAAACGCGCAATTAACAAAGAGTAATACAAGCTATATCATGAATAATATAAATTTGCTATTGCAATTTATTTATTACAAAGAAAAATGATTGTAAAATTAAATTATCTGAAAGTTTGTCCCAAAATGATCCCATAAACTGTAAAAATTCCTTCTTGGACATTGTTCGAACAAACGGCCATGCTATAGGCATTCGGCTCCTTGTTTTCGTGGTGGGACCATTTTGGGTTCTAATTGCAACTTGATTTCGGTCGATTTATGAGGTTTTCATAGTCTCAGTGGTTAAAAAGTAAAAAAAAATAATAAAATGTAAAATTTATTGCCAAAAATACTATCTGTCACCACTATTAGTATTATTACTTCTAGTTATATTATTCATAGTGCCATAAGCAGCCGCCGGGACGTTAAATGTTGCCATTTCGTATTGGTTTGTGGTCAATTCATAAAACCTGGCCAACATGGCATAAAAGACAATATTTTGCCAAGCAATAACCATTGCAATAAATAAAGGCACTAATGCTGGTAAAGCTACGTCAATACTTCTTGATGTTATGATTGGAATGAATTGGAATACTGCGATGTAGAGCTGAAATTATATTTGGGTTTGGACAAGAAAGTAGGTATTAGAAAATGAAATTTGGGGTTATAAAATGGAAAAAAATTCTTACCATAGAGTACTTAAACCTTGTGGTATCTTGATAAGTATATGTCCTTAGTTCACTCATACAGTTGATAGCCAAAACGGACCAAATCCCAAAAACAACATCATTAAAAGACGCTTTATACTCTATATTTCTACCATAGTATAATCCCGACACACCCACAAAAGCAATGTTCATGAAGCAGTTACTGTAACCATGAATATTCAGTTTTTCTCTGATACCTAGACCTTTAAATGAAAATATTTCATGCCAATAAAAGTAATCCTGGTCGAGAGGTGTAAAGTACGTTGTAGAATCTATGACACTTGGTTTTGATAGCCAACAATACTTGACATTGGTGTAGCTTGAAACGTTGGTGATATAAATGTAGTTTGATACGTGAAAGATGAGTAATATAATGTTGAATGTCAGTGAACTTTTGTCTGATAACACATTATGGATTGTAAATGCTAGCGATATGAATATCCATGTAAACTAAAACTGGCTGTTTTTAAAAACTTCTGGTTTACATAATATATCAAAAAAGATTGTTAATTCGACTGCACCGTGCAAAAAAAACATCGTCTGATAACTGATGACGCAATTTATTGAAAATGAAAAAATCGTGATTTTTATGCCTAACATAAAAATCATTATTCTGCAAAATTTAAAATAATTTTACACATAATGTCAAAAACGACTGTCAAAATGACTGCACAGTGCAAAAATTTAAATGTTTTATAACTGATGACGCAATGATTTAAAAATTAAAAATTTACAATTTATATGACTAGCCTAACATAAAAAATACTTTATTTTTGAAAATGCAAAAAAAAGTTTACACATAATGTCAAAAAATGACTTTAAAACTGACTGCACTGTGCACCTTATTCAAATCCAAAAACCGTTTTAAAAAAGTTTTTTTTGGGTTAGAAGTCGGTTTAAAAGTATACCAAAGCTAGTTTAACTTACACTAATAACAGGGTCATTTTCCAGATTATTTTTTCTTTTACTGAAGGCTGTGTTTGCAAATATGACAGCTGATATCAGTAAGAACAGTGCATTCAATACGAGTATGTTTAAGTAATCTACACGTGAATTTGTTAACACAGCCAAGAGATATAATACGGAAAAGAAGTTTATCACTGATAGGGCTTTGAAAATGGCCTAAAATACGATATTTTTATTTTTTTAAAAATTTTTAAACTTTTGAAATTTTCGCTTTTCGTATAACATGTCAACGGCAGACCGCGGCCGAAAAATTAAAGCAAAATTGGCTATGACTTCAATTTTTATTTGAATTTTCAAAATAAAAAAAATTTATGCCACTTACCGTAAGCTCCATCCTCCCAACCATTGCCGGATAGTTATAATCTTTTCCTCTGAATCTCACTACAGACGGTAAGCCAGCTTCTGTGGCCACAGAAGCCTGTTTCTCAATTTCAATTTTAGTTAAAAATCCTAAAATTTTAAAATTGCAGTTGTATTTTGAAGTCGGCGGATAGAGCTCGTCATACTGAGGACATGATGGTATCAATTCATATGGCAACGGTTGAAGGCGGGGTTGATTATACGGTAGGCTATTGTCTGGTAGTTGAACATCAGATAGTTCAGTATCAAGTAGTCCAATATCAGGTAGGCCATTATCACATAGTTCAACATTAGGTTCAGTAGAGAAGATTACTGTGGGTACAGTTAAGGCTACTGGAGTAGTAGTTGTAGTAGAAGTTGTTGAAGTAGTAGTTGTCGCAGAAGTTGTGTGTAAACCTGTGGGAGTTACTGTAGTACTGGGCCGTAAAATATCGCTAGTAGTAGTGGTAGATAGTTCTGGTACTGCATTATCAGGCGATTGTAACTCTAATGGTAAACCATTCAAGCTTTGACTACTTGCAGTACCCTCAGAATCATTTTCTGATGTCTGTAGAGGATGAACAGTCACATCTTCTGGCTTTGACACTTAAAACAACATAACTTTTGATGTTTTAGGTGCCGACATAAAGAGCCCGCCATTTATTACAGGAAATTACAGACAAAGTATGGCGGGTTCTTTATGTCGGCCCCTAATATAATACATACAAAGAATAACATAAAAGATAATCAATATGTTTTAAAAGCAAAAAAAATGAAAAACGATAAAAATCATCATACTTTTACACTTAACAAACCATAAGTTCCATTCGACCAATAGTCCGTGAAAGTAATTACAATACCAAAAAGCTTGAAATTTCAAACGAAATTCATCAAAAAAAGTGAGATGTGTTCGTTTGTTGTGATTCATTGCCAAAGGTTATGTAACGGACTTTGAATTCATGACACACTGAGACATGACCTTTTTTGTTTGAAAAATCAAAAGAATACAACAAAAAACCATGGCTCTTAAAGTTTGGTTGAATAAAATTAATCATGCAGTGACATAAATATACTTTACAAGCAAAAAATGTTTTAAAACTGTGTTAAAGGTATTAAAATCTTAAAATTGAACGTTAAGGAAATCAGGGTTAAAGTAGAATTTTTTAGGGGTAGAGGTGGCAAGCGGTTCGGCCTTACAATCAAGACTGAAACCGTGGTCATGCATTTTTCGACCGGACTCTTTTTGAAAATGCATTTGACCGGATCGGATCGATTGACTGCTCTAATTAGATGTGTGAAGCGGGCCGAGCCCACTTTTTGAAACGCGGTCCGGAAACTTTAGCTCAAGCTCGGCCTGGTTTGATAGTAGTTTTCACCCCTAGGACTTGTGTAAACTGGCTTTATAGTACTGTTTGTTTTAAAAAATATGATTTTAGAACCATTTCTGACTGTATTTTGTATTTCATTGGGTTCAAAATTACTTTTGTGTATTTAAAATTAAATGTTTATTTGTTAATGTATGAGTAATGCCTTCTCGTTTTCTATTTATAGTCATCTTGTGTTAATTTTATATTATATGTCGTCCAAAACACAAGTTTCAACCCAATTTTAAGACCTGACATTTAAAAGATGTAAAACAAAGGTTGACGATGATAACTTGATGCTTAATAAACCATAAAAACAAAAGTTAATATAGTGATTTAAAGGTTTATTATTGTCGACTAAAGTACTACTAAACAATACAAAATGAACATTCCTCTACTCTACTTACTTCACTAACTAATTTATAATGTATCATATAACTTTATTTTACACTACAAAGCACAGTACATACTTTACATTCATGCCCATGACCATACCAACCTCTTAAACTTTTATATTCGTATATAAAATTGCATTAGGCATTCCAATTTTTTCTGTTTGGTGTCGCGCATTTTAAATTGCCCTCTGAACCTACGAATTCAGGGCCCGTTGGAATTAATTGCGTTTTGTTTCTGGACTAGAAAAGTAGGCCGCGGTGAAGCGTGGCCGATTTGCTCCGCGGACATTCGTTATCTATAAGACTGGGCTGTTTTTTGTGACTGGTTGATAGAATTAACGGATATGTTGTTTTTTGGTCATGGAAATGTTTCCGGCTTATGTTTTTTGAGTTATTTATTCTATGATGTTACGAATTGTGACATTAATGAAGGGTATCGTATATAGCAAAGTTTATAAAGTAAAACTTGTCCATGATAATAATGAATCAAAAAAATTACGACAGTGACTATGGAGAAGGTTTATAAACGATATTTTAATAAAAGCTATTGAAAGGAGAGGTTCACCTTGGCATCAGAAACTAGAACAATAAAAATATTTACTTGTAAAGTAAACAAAATTTTGTTCTTACCCATTGAAACGATATTACATTACAGGTCATTTGACCAAACAAAGAATTAGACGTCATGCATAACGCAATAGATGTTTGTAAGATTACCACTTTGAGTTGTCTATCGTTTTACCTCACTATGAGTTGTCCAACGTTTTATTTCACTTGGTTGTCCACCGACTCGTTTCGTTCTCAAAATCGAGAAAGATAGTTTTATTTCTAACGACTGAAAAGCTAGCTACCGTAACTGGTGCATAATTCCAAAGACTTGGTTTGAGTGTTAAGACTCACAGAATAACAAGGTTAACAAAAATTCGTCAGCTTCACGGTGTTACGATAACAATATTTTGGCTTAAACAAAACAAACGTTAAGTTTAGCCGGCTTAACTATACAACAACAATAAGCTTGAAAATTTGTCAACTTACCAGAACAAGCATAAACAACAAAAAGTGCACAGGAACTGACTGTGCAAGCCAACAACCAATTTCTCAACTCGTATGCTGTTCCGGTCGTTAATTAACAGCACAGAACAATTTATCAACTGGTAGGATTACAAGAACAACAGTGGGCTTAGTGGGGGCTAATTAAAAAGTTTTTACATGTATTGCAGCACAAAAAAAAGTTGTTCTTTGTTTTATTAAAGTTTTAAAAATATAATTCTTGTTTTCTTTGGGGGTGTAAACAAAGTTTTTGCTGGTTTCTGTTTTGTAAAGAAAGTTCTTGTCATTTTCTGTATTGTAAAAAAAGTTCTTGCTATTTTATGTTTTGTAAAGAAGGTTTTTGACATTTTTTGTTTTGTAAAGAAAGTTCTTGCTATTTTCTGTTTTGTAAAGAAAGTTCTTGCCATTCCCTGTTTTGTAAAAAAAGTTCTTGCCATTTTTTGTTTTGTAAAGAAAGTTCTTGCTATTCTTTGTTTTGTAAAGAAATTTATTGCCACTTTTTGTTTTGTATCTTCCCCGTTATCCCAAAAATTCCTTACTACATTTTCCTCGAAGTCATCATCGTCTTAACAGTAATCGCCTTAAGCGTAATTACCAGTTTTAATGACTAAAACAGTTATTTTTGTTGTGATAAGACCACAATTCCGCTTTCCTTTTTTCCCATGCCTCAAATGGTCTCCTATAAATTATTCCACTGACCGAAAAACGGCCCCAAAATGGAGTCACTTTACGAACGAAGGAAACGGATTGTTTTGCACCTTTGGCCTGGTTTGGCAACTGAGATTTGGCCCGTTTTCAGGGCCAAACAAAATGAAAAATGGGAATTATAATAGGAGGGTATTGTTGAAAGTGGACGGTTTTGGTGGTTTATGTGCTATTTTGGGGGGGAGAAGTAAAATATTGATTTAGAAAAAAAATAAATGGCAAGAACTTTCTTTGCGAAACAAAAAATGGCAAAGACTTTCTTTACAAAACAAAAAATGGCAAAAACTTTCTTTACAAAACAAAAAATGGCAAAAACTTTCTTTACAAACCCCGTTTTTAAATTTTGACGTACTATACTACTGTAAGTCACATTTTGAATGTTAAATATCTCCGCAAACATGTACACGTTATGATACTCAAACTAAAAAAAAAACACATGTTTTGGCCGGATATCAGCCGGATTTGCCTAATAATAGCGCCAAAACGTGTTGTTAGTAATGCTGTTTCAGAGAACTGGAATAACATTCAAAACAGAAGTTTCAAACCATTTACGAAATTCGGCCAAAATTAGATTGAAATTTGGGTATAAATGGATAAATATTGTTTTTGGTGTGGGAGGGGAAGGAGAGGGGGAGGGTATTTTTGGAAAATAGGGATGAAATGTCATTTAGGGGGTGTAAAGAAAGTTTTTGTCATTTATACGTTATGTAAAGAAAGTTCTTGTTAATCTTTAGTTTTGTAAAGAAAGTTCTTTCCATTTTTTGCTTTGTAAAGAAAGTTCTTGCCATTTCTTGTTTTGTAAACAAAGTTCTTGCCATTTCTTGTTTTGTAAACAAAGTTCTTGCCATTTTTTACTTTGTAAACAAAGTTCTTGCCGTTTTATATTTTGTAAACAAAGTTCTTGCCACTTCTTGTTTTGTAAAGAAAGTTTTTTGTCACTTTCTTTGTTTTACAATAAGTTTTTGACCCATTTTGTGCCAAAACTACGTCACGCCCTTTCCTTGTTGTGACATTACTAAAAACAGGCCGGTCTTGTTTATAGGCTTGCACAAAATTAGCCTTCAAGCTGGCGTTAGTTGTGCTAGTTTTAAGCTTATGAATTTGTAATGAAACGCATACGACGGCCATGTTTTGATCGGTCGTTTTTTAGTCTGCTTGGTGTATATGTAGGAACTGGTCGTAGGGTGTAGGGTTATTCGTTTTTTCTTAGGATAGAGGGAGGGGAAAGTGCTTTTTAACTGGGTAGGGGGGGGAGGGGTAAGGGGTTTTCATATAGTATGAGGAAGAAGGGGAGGAGGTGGGGAGAATTTGACAATAAAGTAGAAGTAGGGGTGAGTGAACATCTTAATAATGAAGAGTGGGTAGTACGGGGATGGAATGATAGTTTTTTGTTTTGTAAACAGAGTTCTTGACATTTTTTGTTTTGTAAAGAAAGTTCTTGCATTTTTTGTCTTTTAAAAAAAGTTTTTGTCATTTGTTGATTTGTAAACAAAGTTCTTGCATTTTTTGCTTTATAAACAAAATTCCTGCTATATTTGTTTTGTAAAGAAAATTCTTGCATTTTTCTGTTTTGTAAACAATGTTTTTGCAATTTCTCATGTGTTTTTTCACTTTTAAGGTTTGAAAAAGTTATGGCGTTTTTTACCTTAAAAAGACCTAAAATTCGACGACAAGACTTATATTATGTGCCTCTAATATATAGCATTATAAACCAAAACGTAACATGTTATACTTAGTAAACTGAAAAAGGAATGTCAATGCTATCTCCTTTCTTTGTGTTAATCAATTTTCCAGTACGACAGTTTTCAGTTTTTAGGTTTAGTACTATCCCCCCCCCCTTTTTTCCTTCTTCTCTTGTCATTTTCCCCTCTGCCCTTCCCCTCCTTCCTGACTATTTTGCCATTTCTCTACTGCCATTCCTTTTTCGAAAAATTACTTAAATTGGCTTAGGAAGAGGGAATTGGATAGGTCTATTTAGGTCTTCTGAAGTCGATGTTAAACCCAATTTGGCAGTTATGTGTTTTAGCTAGCTGTTTATTATTCGTACAGATGCGCTGTTTATTATTCTTGTTTTTGTTTTCTTCTTGCCACATTCAAGATGCGCTTATGATGGGATGTATAACATGTATATTTTTGGAAGTTGTATGTATTGGTAATGGGTGCGGGAGGAGGGTTGTATGTATTGATAATGAGTGCGGAGGGGATGAAGTGAGGAGGGGGGGGGGAGTGGGGGATAGGACACTATATAATAGTTGAAAGTAGGGCAGGGTAAGGAGGAAGATGAAGTGAGGAACGGGGCGGGGGGGGGGAGGGGGGGGAGGAGAGGGTAGGACAATAGAGCTTAATTGAAAGTAGGGTAGGGTAAATCATCTTAAAAATTCGGCCAGTTTATGTAAAGAAGGTGAAGGTGGGGT